TACGGTTGCCTATAATTGCTTACACCAACTTCATTTGAACTTTAGTGGATATTTGTCTCATTGGCATTCATACCTTATTTCTATAAAGAAAAAACTTATATGCTACGAATATAAATGAAGTAAATATAGGCTATAGGACTAATAACCACAACAACAAACAAACAGAAGAGTGTACAAATATAGGCTATATCAAATTAACTAAATATGTATACAGATAAAATTATGGACGTTAATCAAAAAACAATCAATCAGATTAAATATCTGTTTTCAGCACGACTAATTGATGACGTAAATGGAAAACCGACTATTCAATACAAAGACGAAGGTTTCTTGTAAGTCTGATTTATAAATACTATAAGTTTTCATTTTTGATAAAAATAAAAAAACAATTGGTCAAAAGAATAATTTTTATCGCGATTTTGTGTTTTTTTTCTTTTTTTTGTGATAATTTTTCATTTGCTACTCGCTTGAGATAGAAAATTATCGTCAGAAACTAAGGGCGCACGTGACGTTGTCAATGTAAACATCAACGACGTCATAAGCAAACTAGCGATAAACAGATTATCAATGGTCTTTCATATTCGAGGATGTTTGTCGGCCCTTCGATGAGATTGTATCTGAGAAACACCCTCTAGTTTGAAAAACCATCAATAATCTATAAATTCTATAAAAAAAAACAAAGTTACCAGACTTTTAATTAACCTAAAAAAAGTTAAAGGCCAAATACAGTACGAAAAAAGTAAAACAACAAAAATACCGAACTCCAAGGAAAATTCAAAACGGAAAGTCTCTTAACAATTGGCAAAATCAAAAGATCAAACACATCAAAGGAATGGAAAACAACTGTCATATTCCTGACTTGGTACAGGCATTTTCTTATGTAGAAAATGGTGGATTAAACCTGGTTTTAAAGCTAGCTAAACCTCTCACTTCTATGGCAGTCGCATAACATTCCATTATCTTGACAACAATGTGTAAACAAAACAAAAAGACATAATAGGTAAAAATGTTAAAAAAAGGGGGTACAGCAGTCAACATTGTGTTATAATCTCAATCACTATAAAAACAAACAAATATGTCAACAAAGAAAACAAAATGGCATATAGACAAAGCACATACGCAAAATTGAAACACAAGAATACAAAACATTACAACAGCACAACAACACAATGGCGGGATGTACAAGAACCGAGCCAGTATAAAGGGTATTACTAAAAATGGACCAAACAGTAAACGTTAACAATTAACAAAGACAAATAAAAGAACACTATAACACGAAGTTGAAGAGAAGAGACCGTGTTTAATCCACCATTTTTACATGAGGAAATGCCTGTACCAAGTGCCTGTACCAAGTCAGGAATATGACAGTTGTTTTCCATTCGTTTGATGTGTTTGAGCTTTTGATTTTTCCATTTGATAAAGGACTTTCCGTTTTGAATTTTCCCTGGAGTTCGGTATTTTTGCTATTTTACTTTTACACCAAAAAGATTTCTATTTGCTTTCATACATAGAAATTGTTACAAGCTCTGCATTTTTCAATTGGCTACAACCTTCAAGCAGAGGTGTGTATACAACAGAACATGAACAACTTAATGCAACGAAACTCAAGATAATCATATTTACTCAGTCATTTTATATATTTTACCTATGTCTTATTTCAGTGACGATACTGGTTCTTAAAATCAGGTTGTGTATGGCAGAAAATGCAAGACCATCGTTAATGGACGGAAATATGATCTGTACGAACTGTTTCGATATTATTTGAACTAATTGTATTTTTTGTAATATTTATTACCTACTTGAGAATTGTTGAAATCTAACGTTCCTAATGTGACATTTTAAATTAACAGTAAGAATCCTAATTCAAACAATATCACCAGACTTTTAATAAGAAGATGACGCCGAGTTTTCTCTAAAAGTGTTACATTCCTCTTTATGTCACTTTTTTAGCATAATGTATACCTATGTCAATTTAAACATTGAATATTAGTTAATTCTTAATTAGCTTCTTAAAACAAACAGATGAATTCATTATTTTTCTGTTCAAACGAAGGTATTTCCATTGCTTTAAGAGTCGGGTCTACAATTACAAATGGAATGCAGGTAACCTCTACATATGATATAGTTATGTGAAGTAATGTTGCGTCGCTTCCTAAGAATTCTCTAATCTGAGTTATAATATTTCTTGTGTGTTTCTATATCAAGAAAAAATTAATGTACTAGTCACTGGCAGAAATATGTTAAGAGACTGTATGTAAATATTTATTGACTCAACAAATAGGTGTGTTCGAAACAAATAAATTATTTTCCTAGCAAATGTTATGATCTTATATGACAGGATTACATTCCAGAACATTGTCTGTGAATTAATTTAACAAACATAGATGTGAAACATTTGCAATTGATTATAATTTTAATATGTATTTTTATATTCAAAGATATTATTAATGTTTGCACTTTAGGAATGATCTCTACAAAAAAATCATATTATTTATTTTTATACACCTTTCGTATTAACTTGAATATCCTTTTTTTTTAATCTCCTAAGAGAAACATGTGTTTATACGTATTAAATCTTTTTAAAGGGAATCTCTCAACTACTCATTTTTAGTATTTAATTTAATATTGTTAATATAGTGACAATATTTTCTTATAAGAAACTGTTCGTGTAGGACACAACGTAAGATGGTATGACACGCTTAAGTACGATGGTTAGTTTTTGGTTAGCCGGTTTGCGATTGTTATAGGTAAAATTTTACCTACTAAAATGTGACATTGTCTCTTAATAGCTACCACACAAAGAATTCAGTTCCAAAATTAGTCGTATCTATAATCATATATGTCTATGCAAACTTCAGTATGGTCAATACAGATAACTAAATAAAAAAAGTTTACTTTAGACAATCAAATAGACACTGAAAAACAACGTAAACCATCCATGTAAACTGATTATTTTGCTTCAACTTATCGATAAATATTACCACCCCGGGAAAAACACCAACGTCATCCTTGTCATTTTAGTTTAATGCCTCAACAGCAAGTTAACTTCCGACTGCAATTATTTTACTAACACCCATTCTTTTGGGTCCCACGGTTTTCATGTAGGCTGTTAAACAATATAACGATCGTACTTTAGCATATTAAACTATAGCATTTTAGTTCACACCATCTTACGTCAGCTTGACCATCGCATTTAAGCAATTACCATCGCACTTTCGAATCCTACATATGCGGTGTTATTGTAAAACAATGTAAACAGAAACTTGCCATAACATGTTAAGGTTTCTATATTACCATAAGAGATTGGAAACCTCATTAAATGTTCTTAAAACACATGTTTGTTTAGAAATATCATACGGCAATTTCAATTTAATAAAAAAAAAAGAACTTTTAAGGTACTGACATTATTTTCATTTTATAATTTTTCTAATATTTAATCATGTTCTAATAATGCTTTTTTTCTCGAAAAACATTGTTTGATACCTATGATTCTTAAAAAAAACATTCTTTGGAAACGCTTTCATCAGAAAATATAAGTTTCAAAAGGAACAAAAGTAACAATTTTGCATATTCTTAAGTGTTGATTTTATGACCACAATTAATTTGTTTCTCATTTCAACCATTTTTAAGTCGGACAAACTAGTAAAATTTATATTTAATAATATTTAAAATATGATACATTATATAAATGATCTAGTCTATGAAAGTTGCCATTAAATTAAAATGAAACTAAAAAATCTCAGATTAATAATAAAAAAGCATATGCTGTTGTCTGCTCTTTGGTTGGGTTGTTGTCTCTTTGACATATTCCCCATTTCCATTCTCAGTTTTATGATATATGATCTGACGTAAAAGAAAATACCTCTATTATCATTGACAGGTATTTAATATAAATAAGGAGATGTGGTATGAGTGCCAATGAGACAACTATCCATCAAAGTCACAATGTGTAAAAAGTAAACAAATTATAGGTCAAAGTACGGCCTTCAACATGTTTGTTTGTATTGTATTTTTTCCCAAGGATATGTTTCATAAGTTGAGAATCGTATATCTAAAGAGAATTTAAGGAATGAGTATCCTTTTTTTTAAGTGAATTTTATTCCACCGATGTTGTATCATGAAAAAAATATTAAGTGTTGAAAATAAACTATTGATTATCATCTATAAATTAATCAAATATGTAAATCCGTTGAAAACTGTTGTTATTGACATCGCTGTTTGTGAGTTACATTTAATTTTATTAAGAACAGATAGTTATTTAGTAAGAAATGGCAGAAACATTTATTGTTTAAGTTATTTAATAACAACAATTTAAATATATTTTAATTCTTTTTTGGATATCATACATTCAATTTGAAAATAGACATTCCTGTCAATTAATTTACAAATTTTGAAAGTTCTATAGATATTCCAGAAATTTAGTTGCTTAACATTATCATAATCATACATATACTATCTGATGATAATTTGAATGTACAAAGTCGACCCTTAGAATTTAAGTAGTGATAAAAAAAAACAGTCCTTAAAGTGTTAACTTTTTCACCAATGATTATGGCATGGTATTGGTTGCAAAAATTTGATATTTTTCATTTAAATGCAATATTTTTCATTTAATTGGTATATTTTTTCATTTATATGCAATATTTTTTCATTTATATGCAATATTTTTTCATTTGTATGGTATATTTTTTTCATTTAAATGGTATATTTTTTCATTTATATGCAATATTTTTTATTTTAATGGTATAATTTTTCATTTATATGGTATATTTTTTCATTTAAATGCAATATTTTTTATTCAAATGGTATAATTTTTCATTCAATGGTATAATTTTTTATTCAAATGGTATAATTTGTCATTCAAATGCAATATTTTTTATTCAATTTGTATAACTTGTCATTGTACTGCAATATTTTTCATTCAATTGGTATAATTGTCGTTTTTTTTATTTATATGCAATAATTTTTATTTATATGCAATAATTTTTATTTATATGCAATAATTGCATTATGGGAAATTGTTTGACGTCACAAGGTCAAATTTGCAACAACGTTTGTGATTGGTCGATATAGTCGAAAATGGCAGCCCCTGCTTGACTCACATGTTGAAGTTGTACGTTTGATTAGCTGTTGATAGATATATGAGAAGGTAACGCTTTGTGTAACTGTTTGCATTCCCCCCTTTCTTTCTCAACACGCATGCATGACCAAGAATTAAAAAAACGCGTCGCCCCACTAACTAAATCTTGCGTTCATGCGAGTCCGGCATTGCAGGCTGTTACTGTTAGTGTTACTGTTAGGATTATGTACCCTTGTGTTGATTCAATACTAAACATATGGAAAGTTTATAGAAAATCCATAGTCCAAATAATAATGACGTCTGGCAAGGCTATTTTGATTTTTTTCTTGGACGCCTTCCTGCGACCAAAATAGCCTTGCCAGACGTCATAATATTATTTAGACTAGAACATCCACAGCCTTTTCTATTTATCCTTGTTCCCTCAAATAAGGCAATTTAATGACTGATAGATATAGGATTATTGCGAGCATTGAAATTTTCTCAAAACAAGTTTATTACTTTAGTTATAATAATGGTTAAAACAAATAAGAATTTAGCTCAAATTAAGTACACCTTTTAGGGTGCACTTGACTGGCTCAGCACAAGATGTTTGGGAATTTACAGGTTGCTTATATTTTTTTGTAAACAATTAATAAACACAAGCACATTTTAGAAAAGCAAGTGAGTAATCTATGTTTGAAATTTTATAACAAAAATCTCTGTATTGCAGGCTGTGGATTTTCTATAGAATCTTGGTTTATTTGCCACAAAGTACTCGCTTTGTTTATAAAAAATCCGTAAACCAGAACTGGAAATTGACAGCAGGTTCATCAGATGGAAACACTTGTTGGAAAGAGTTGCGGTACATCTAATAACCAATGTAAAAAAGTGCCGAAATATGCACCACAATGGCCGTTTATGGAAAAATTGGAATGTGTTCTAGTTCCCATCTCTGAATCCCCGAAGTAGATTTTTTTTCCACGTCCCACTGTGGTTAATAATTACTATATGTCTTTGCATATTTCAAAACATATTTTTCTTCAGGAATTCTTAGCTCTCTAGAACTTTTATTTGTCAGCATATTTTGTTCATATTTATACACATAATGAGAACTATATATATATTCATAGCCTCTCATAGGACAACTTGTTAGCACTGACTAGAATAATGCTAAGTAACATAAAACTAAGATTAAGTTCAAATTCGGGTGGCTTCACTTTGACTGTTTCTGAGTTATGTCTTTTCCCATTTGCACTTGTTCTCCACCTATTTAAGCATGACAATCAATCCATTTTGCCAGTGGGGGATCCATGTCATCAGACACAATCTTGTTTAATTATGCGACCACAAAAATATATTTAGGATCATAATAATGGTATGATGAAGTCATCGTTGTCCATGTCGTCTGCGTCGTTGTCCTTAATATTAGACACATTACGTTTCCGGACAATAACTTTAGTTTAAGTGTGGATCTAGATATGATTTTTTTTTTAGAAGGTTCAATACCACAAGGTTAGGATTAATTTTGGATGATGGTCCCAACGGAATGGAATTCAGACTCAAAGGGGGCCAAAAATAAGCATTTTTCTTTAAGTTATTATCATGAACTTAGAAAAATGCATAATATATATAAGAAAAACACATAACAAATCAATAACAAACAAACTGGGCATCAATGAATACATTTTATGATTTATAATCACCAGAGTATGAAATGAAGTACTATGCAAGCTTCCAAGTCATGCAAGTAATTCCAAAGTGTCCCATGTAAAAAGCATTATCGCTATTAAATTTTTAGGAAATTTTCCTTCGATCTTGCTGACTGGTGATTTCCTTTCTCAGCAGGAGTCAAGACGGAGTGATATGAAAAATTATCGCAAGAAACTAATGAGGCACATGGATCCTAATGAAACTGACAATGTCCTCATAGTTACAAATAGCGATCAACAAATTATCATTGCAATTGGTCATCTCAACTGGATTGCTTTTCTCATTTTAGCCATATCATCTCAGGCGAGAAAATCAATCTTGTTGAGATGATCAATGATGATCTGTAAGAACATGTATCTAAATTATATGCCTTTTAAAGCTAAGCCTTTTCCTATTGATTTAGTATGGTTCATCAAAAATGATTTACTTTAATTAGAAAATGAGTTATTCAGTCTATGTATTCAGTTTCTGCGCAAAGTTTCAAAAATTCTCAAGTGCCTAATATAAAAAGTAAAATATTAAATATTTGGTTAACAAATAACAAACATGTGTTACTAAACTATTAGGAATAAAAAGAGAGGAGACAACTCGCGAAAGCATTTGTAATCACACTGTGTGAGAAATTGTGAACTAAGTTTCCACATCCCATGTCAGAATCTTTCATAATAAAGGTTGCAGTCTTGAAATTGACTGCTCCATAGGCTTACATGCAAAACAGCTGATCTTTGAAAATAAAAAATAAAAAAATAAAAAATGCTACATAGAAAAAAAAATTCATGTTCATATCATGTATGTACTAATGTGAAATTGTGATTTAATCGAAAAAAGGGGGTTCTTGCCACGAAGAATAAAAAGTTACTCAATTCTGAAGTCAAAACATTTTTTTCCTACTTTCTCAGGGGTCGAAATTAGCGCTGGTGACCAGTAGAATTTACGTCGGACCAGTAGATTTTTTCAGCTAGTGGTCCGGCGGACCAGTTGAATTTTTTCGATAAAATTCTCTGATTGCATCACAATCTCAGTTTATTTACATTACAAATTACCTGAGAAATCAATAACGCGATACTGGAGGTATAAAAATTGATTACATTAATTAATATCTCTGGTGTTCGTCCTTCACAATAAACAAAATATGGAAATTTTCGGAAGGGGTTAAAACTTTCTCAAAATCAGGATGCAAAAACTTCTTTGACCAATGTATAATATATGTAAACAAAGGCATGAAAATAAAAGTAAGCATCTTTAATTTATGTTGGAGTTTGTCAAATGTATTTTTTTCAGGACCAGTAGATTTTGTGCAGGACCAGTAGAGTTTTCAGTCCACTGGTCCGGCTGGCCATTACACAAAAAAACCTTAAATTCGACCCCTGCTTTCTGTTTGCTATTTTTACTAGGCCGCACCACTTCCAGTAAACATGATATCCTTCCACTTTCCTGGATTGATATCCCCAAAAGATGCAAGATTTTTTTTAAAGCCTATATATATGTTTCAATTCAGCATAAACCTACATGTATAATCAAACAGAAAAAATTGAGTTCAGAAAAAAATTCAGAACAAAATGCACTATTTTGTTTCCCTCCATGTTTTGAATGCACCCGAAATTGGAGTTGTAATACAAGACTGGTACCTAAAGGTTAATACAGTCAAATATTAAATACAATACTGACTGCCAATCATGCCTAAAGTTTTTAAAATCTGACAAAGTCAAAGATGAAGCTAGTTACAAAAATTACATCCTTGGTCCCTTGCTATTACAGCCATTACACATTGGTGGGTTTTCATAGCGCTCAAAAGTGACTAAAGCCCTCAAAACCCTAGCTTAAACCCAGATTCACACATGCATGTTTATTTCTCTGAAATGAAAATATTTAAGTTATACCCTTGATTGTTCAGAGTGTAAAATATCACTCATTTTATAATACATAGAAATCTGATAAATTGCAGAATACTATACATGCTGTAGCTACAAATGTAACACCATATTAGCTGTGAAATATTGGCTCATGTGATAGGTTTGATGGCTTAATGAAATTCTTCCTTTTTTTGCAGAAGATGGCAACATACCCAGATCATGAAGAGCAAGAAGAGACTATTTTTGAACAAAAATTTCAAGACTTGGACGAAACGTTATCATATTGTGAAAATATCCCAGATAACCCTCCAAATTGTGACATAGAATACTTTCGCAACAGATTGAAAAGTGCAGTGGATTGCTTAAATTGTTTAGAATTTAATTTAGTTATAAATAGAGCTGATCAGAGCTTAATTGATAAAATTCAAACCCTATTATCTTGTCTTCAGCCCCTGAGAGAACATTGGAGCACGATAGATTTTTCTATGCCATCTAGTTTCTTGAGCATTGTTGATGGAGCAGGATGTATTTCAGCGACTGATAGGCTGGGAAGGCCTCCTGCTTTTATATGCACCGACCAAGTGGAATATTTGTTTAAAATTGGTTTTAAGATAGGTGAAATAGCCAGAATGTTCTTAGTGCACAGAACAACACTATGGAGACGACTTAAATATGAGGAGAAGAATCTGGTTAGACATACTATGATAAATGATTCAGAATTGATGTCAGTGATGCGAGAAATCGTTAACAGTCAACCACATACTGGTGTGAATATGATGATTGGCCACTTAAAAGCAAAAGGTATAAGTGTGCAACAGTCACGTGTAAGGAGAACTCTGCGTGATATTGATCCAGGAAGCACCTTGATACGATGGGGCTTAACTGCAGTTCGCAGGAAATACTCAGTTGCAGGGCCTAATGACCTATGGCATATTGATAGACACCATGCGCTGATCCGCTGGAAATTAGTAACACATGGAGGTATTGATGGTTTTTCGCGATTAATAGTGTTCTTAAAATGCTCGAACAACAACTTGGCGGTCACTGTTTTGAACTCGTTTTTGGAAGCAGTTGAATCGTACTCATTACCATCTCGAGTCAGAGGTGATCAAGGAAGTGAAAATGTTTTAGTTGCTAGATATATGGAAGAAAGGCGAGGCTCTGATCGTGGTAGTTTTATAGCAGGAAAATCTGTGCACAATAGCAGAATTGAAAGGCTTTGGAAAGATGTTTATTATGCTGTAATTCAAACATTCTATTCATTGTTTTACTATCTAGAAGGAAATGATCTGCTAGATGTTGATAATCAAAAGGATCTGCTGTGTTTACATTATGTGTTTATACCTCGTATCAACGAAGCACTCTCTCAATTCGTAGTGGCATATAATAGTCATGGGTTAAGAACAGAACGTTGTTGGTCACCACAAAAGATCTGGGTGAACAGCATGATTAAAAAAAAACATTCATTCAGCTGAACTGAATAGTGAAAATATTTTAATTGATGGAATTGAGAAGTATGGAATAGACCCTCATGTTAATGATGTTCAAACACATGGTGAAGATATTGGCTCATTGGACATGCTGAATATGCAACCAGATCATGTAATTGTAGATGTGGATAACTTGTTGAGTCAGGTTGACCCTCTTATTCCAAGTAATGAACATGGAGTTGATGTTTATCTTGCTGCAAGAGAGATTGTATGACATGATGATGTGAAGAATTAGATAAAAATAAAATTCTGGGTTTTTTATTTTCACTGGTACATGTAGATTATTGTACACTGACCCTGTACTTGTCCATGTTAAGATGATGTAATACATGTTAAATTATATTTGTGAAGTCAAAATTACTTTAAATGTATAACATACATGTACATTTGAATACATTGTATGAGACAACAAACCTTTACAAAATGTGAAATAAAAAGAACAATACAAAACATACAACAAGAGTGTACACACTGAAACGTCTCGCCTGCTTTACTTTTCACTGATATTATGTTGAAAGTCCTAAATATAAAGCTTAACTATAACTATCACACATGATCCAAGAAAATGAGGTCATATAAACCAATCAAGAAAAACAGCTGAAGGACGCCTCTGGATGTGGGAATTTCTCGCTACATTGAAGACCTGTGGGTGACCTTCTGCTGTTGTTTTTTCTATGGTCGGGTTGTTGTCTCTTTGACACATTCCCCATTTCCATTCTCATTTTTATGTCATGTACATGTCACAATCATTCTATACACTAAATATAGTAAGTTGACCTATGGCTTATAAATAGCTTCAAAGAAACAGACTGAACTATGAAAACTAAACAATGACCGATGAAAATGAGGTCAAGGTCACATGAACAATACTTGGCAGACAATTACAGCCTACTATACTTCCATACAACAGACATATTTGACCTATTGCTTATAGTTTTACACCAAAACACAAAACTTAACACCTTGCAATGAACAGTGAAAATGAGGTAAAGGTCAAATAAAACCTGTGAGACTGACACATAGATCATAAAATATTTCTATGCATCAAATATAGTTGACCTATTGCATATACAATTTAATATTACAAAAAGACTAAAACTAAAAAAAAATATTTTTTTTATCTCTGAACCATGAAAATGAGGTAAAAGTCAGATGACACCTTACAATCATTCCATATAGTAAAAGAAAAAAGACAACAAAAAAATAACAACTGAACCATGAAAATAAGGTCAAGATCAGATGACACTTGCCAGTTGTACATTTTCACCTTTACAGTCCTTCCGTACCAGAAATATTGCTTATATGATATCCAAGATATGGACTTGACCACCAAAACTTTACCTTGTTCACTGATACATGAAATGAGGTCGAGGTCAAGTGAAAACTGTCGGACAGGTATGAGGACCTTGCAAGGTATGCACATACCAAATATAGTTGTCCTATTACTCATTTCAGACAGAATTTACATTACAAAAAATCTCCAACCTTTTATTTTTTCAAATAGTCGCTGAACCATGGACATGTGACAGATGGAAACTTCATAACATAAGCCATCTATATACAAATTTTATGTCGCCTGCTAATCACAGAACATGTAAGAGTCACTTTGACACTACATGTCGTCAGCATCAAAAAAAACCAAAGCTTCAAAAATATGTCGAGAAACTTAATAATGCACAAATATGCATGGTTTATTTCAATATCAGTTCATTTTGGTTTTTTTGTAAACATTGACCCCTGCTGGTGGCAATATTTTTCAACAGACCGGAGAAAAACGAAGACCATTTGTTCAGGACATGTCATAGATCATGACTTTTTAAGTTTCAAGATTTTTGAAAATCGGAGGCTCACAATGACCCTGCATGTGTAGCCCTTTTGGCAATCCTTTTTTGGTCTAGATTTTCCACATATCTTAAGAGCTTTATAATATTCAAATATATGTATGGTTTAATTTGTTCACATATCAGCTACTTTGTACTTGAGAAATTGGAAAAATATGATTTCCCGTAGGGTTTCTATGTAAACTTTGAACCCTGGCTGTGGCCATTTTTCGTCAGACCAGAACAAAATAAGGATTTATGTAAAGTTTCAAAACATTTTGCCTAGTAGTTTCAGAGACAATCTTTGAAAATTGGCCAAACAGAATCTAAGATTTGCTCTAGCGGACATGTTTTTCATTGGACTAGAACAAAGTAGGGTCATTTGTTAAGGACCTTGCACTGACCATTCGTGCAAATTTTACTTAAAATCTGTCAAGAGGTTTCAGAGAATGAAAATGTGAAAACTTTATGACAAATGATGGTCATAACTTGATGGCAATTGGACTTTTACTTAGGTGAGCTAAAAAGTGTTTATGAAAATCTTCAAAATTTATTATAAATTTCCAAAAACATACATGTAAGAATGTGGGTTTTTGCACTTGGACCTATATATACACATAACACATACTTTAATAAAACATTTTAATGAAAATAAACCTGACAGTTATGTTCTCCATAAATTGCAAAACAAAAGTTCATAGTATTATGATAACATTAGATCTAAATATTTTATTTTCAACAACTCATCAGTTTCCCTAACTGTTATACATGTTTTACAAAATAATCAAACTCAGATGTCTGTGCAGTTTGAGTCAAACAACAATTTAACATATAATACACCCGAGTTTCTTGTTGTTCAAAACTATAACATAATAAAATGTTTGGCAGGGCACAGCTTGACACGACCGCAGAAGTGGAACCCTGAAAAGTGGGAGCAAATATGGACACAACATTCGAGTTTCATACAGCTCTGAATTTGGATTGTGATTAAAAAGTTGAAACTGCATAGGTTTCTGACACAGAATGAATGGGGTCTAAAAGCTGAAAAGTTTTAAATTGGACATTCACTTTTTATGGTCCATTTTCCAAAATTTAAATACATGGTTAGATTCAGCGTATCAAAGAACCACAAGAACTCAATTTTTGATGAAATCAAATAAAGTTCCAATTTTGGACCCTTTAGACCTTAATGTGGACCAATTTGATAACGGGGCCCAAATATCAAAAATCTAAATACATGGTTAGATTGAGCATGTCAAAGAACGAACCCCTTATATTCAATTTTGGTTGAAATCAAACAAAAGTTTAATTTGAACCCCTATTTGGACCAACTTGAAAACTGGGCCCATAATTAAAATTCATACATTTTCAGATTCAGCATATCAAACAACCCCAAGAATTATTTTTTTGTTAAAATCAAACTAAGTTTAATTTTGGACCCTTTGGATCTTACTGTAGACCAATTCGAAAACAGGACCAAAAATTCAGAATCCAAATACACGGTTAGAATCGACATATCAAAGAACCCAAATAATTCAATTTTTGATGAAATCAACAAACAAAAAAAGAGTTAAAATTTTACCCTTTTGGCCTCTTCCTCCTAAACTGTTAGGACCAAAACTCCAAATATCAATCCCAACCTTCCTTTTGTGGTAAAAAACCATGCGTTTAAATTTCATAGACTTTTATTTACTTATACTAAAGTTATTGTGTGAAAACCAAATGTCTATGGACAACGACAACATGATACCATTTGTATAAGAATTTATATGATCAATATATTTATACAGAAATATTCAAATTTGTATTTGTAACAACCTTTGCACCAGGCAAGACAAAAAATGAAGATGAAGTATGGATGAATATTAAAATTATAGGCTCCCATGAATGGTTCATGCCAGTCCAAAGCCTGGTGAGTTTGCAATTCCAAAAGTCATGTGTTTTCTGAATGTATTAAAATCTACTGAAACTGGAAGCTTCAACTCCATTGAGCATGTGTTTGCTTTTGGAAACAATCCTGAGTCATGAAGAAAAGTAATAGATGGTGATGGATCAAATCCTAATGGAGGTACACAGTCTGCTCCAGTTGCAAATGATAAAACATCACCTAAGGTAATTTCACCATCCTCATCTTCTGAAATAAGACAAATAAAAAAAAATTTATACAAAATGTTGACTTCAGTTGAGGTTTACTCATGTTTATACAAACCAGGTAAGTAATTGAATGACCAAAACCAACAGCCAAGCTGGTAGTAGATCAATCACAGGGAATGTCCATATAGTCATAATTATACAAAAATCAAAGAGGATAACTGATTCATTAAATGTTATGTAACAAAGTTGAACTTGAGTTGGCTATAAAAGCTAAACAACCTCACTCAATAAACTTTCATATTACTACATGAACAATATTTTTTATGCTTCACATCTCAATGAGGTCACAATATGAAATAAAACAAAGTCTGTCTTTACATGGTTTATTATATCACTGGTCCCTAATTTTTTTAAAGATAAAAACAATGACAAGAATGTGTCCAAAGTACAGGGATGCCCTACTCGCATTATCATTTTCCTTGTTCAATGGACTGTGAAATTGGTGAAGTTTCAAAGTTGAAGGCACATAATTTCAGTCAAATCAGCAGAGCAGAAAGAATGGTATACTTTTATCTGCAAATTTTTGAAAAAAAGTTGGGATGGACTGTGGACCAGTCAAAAACATCATTTCCTTCGCAACTTGGTTGCCTTCGGTATAATAACATGCATTGTGAGATACACCCAGTCCCCCATGCAACATTCAGAGCAAGTGATATTACGTGTGCACATCTTCATAAAATGTCCCTCTGTATTGCACTGACTGGATGCAAGGAGTTGCAGCTATAGTGATTTTTACTTTTACTTAACAAAATTTTAATTGCAATTATGACAGCATTGGCTGACCTAGAAGTCACGGCCACACAAGACTTTAAATCTCGCAATTTGAAGGGGTAAATTAATAAACTGCTTTGCTGAGCACAGCTGGATATGCTCTCAGAGGTCCAACCCTGAATAGTTGGGGCAAAAATGGACACAATATTAAAGCTTGATACCGGTCTAAAGGAGTAGGTCCAGTAAGGGCCGATTTTGGCCTCAAATTTCAGGTTCTTCTAACGAAAGATTTTAGACACTTTTTAAACACTGAAGTGTCTATTTCAATTGATTCAATTAGTTTATGTGACATATTTTAACTGATGTAGTCATTAAAAACGCTTCGATTCAAGCTAAAATATGAAAAATCTATCAAATATGCCAGGAAACGTCACTTTTCGGATGGTTTTTGTCAAAAATGAAAGTTGCCGCATCCGTGTTCATCCTCAACCTTTATATATGTTATGTATTATCATCAAATAGAACTTACATTTCAATATTATGAATGAACACGAATGCGGCCACTTTCATTTAAGATGGAAACCATCTAAAATCTAACCAAAATGCTAAAATTGTGAAGATTTCAGTAATTTAGCATGACTTCATGATGCTAGTTCCCGATATATGTGCATTGTATTGTCAAAAACAGTCCATATTTATGTAGCAGAAGCATTCTACTTTCCAATAAATAGCTAACAGATTACATTTTCAAAATTTTGTAAAACTGCTATATTTTGGGGCCAAAAAGGGGTCTTATTGAACCTACTCCTTTGGATTGTATAGAATATTTGACATAAAGGTTTCTGAATAAATGTAGTCAAAGAACTTGAAATCTGTTATAAAAATTGAATTTATATTCAATTAAAGATTTCTTGCTGTGCTGTTGCTCAATACTTAGTAAATCTGTTGTCAGACTATAAACAAATAAATTTCAATAATAACTCAATGTTAGATATCAAAAATTTAATAAAAAAAACCTATAGGGAGGTTATCTTTATAGATATAAATCAGACATCAAAGTTTAATAAAAACTAGAGGCTCTAAAGAGCCTGTGTCGCTCACCTTGGTCTATGTGAATATTAAACAAAGGACGCAGATGGATTCATGACAAAATTGCATTTTGGTGATGGTGATGTGTTTGTACATCTTACTTTACTGAACATTCTTGCTGCTTACAATTATCTCTATCTATAATGAACTTGGCCCAGTAGTTTCAGTGGAAAATGTTAGTAAAAGTTTACAAATTTTATGAAAATTGTTAAAAATTGACTATAAAGGACAGTAAGTCCTTAGGGGGTCAATTGACCATGTTGGTCATGTTGCCTTATTTCTAGGTCTTACTTAGCTGTACATTATTGCTGTTTACAGTTTATCTCTATCTATAATAATATTCAAGATTATAACAAAAAACGGCAAAATTTCCTTAAATGACCAATTCAGGGGCAGCAACCCAACAACCGGTTGTCCAATCCATCTGAAAATTTCAGGGCAGATAGATCTTGACCTGATTAACAATTTAATCTCTTCAGATTTGCTCTAAATGCTTTGGTTTTTGAGTTATAAGCCAAAAACTGCATTCTACCCCTATTTTCTATAACAATTCTTATTATCAATCCAATACTTTCTAAATACTACCTTTTGAACTTCTCCTCTCAAGTCACCATCTGCTATATCTTCAATATTCCTTTCTCCAGCTTGTCCCACTAACGCATTGTACATAGCTGGAGAAAGGAATTTTGGTGATGGTCCTCTGTGTACAATGGATAGGGAAAAGAATAATCCAACATCTCTGTACAGATTGTCTTCTAGGGCTACAATAAAACAAAACTAAATATTTTGCTGAAATGTGATAAAAGATTTAAGATATATTAAATTTAACATTTAGAGGCCTTAATAGACATGATAGATGTCAAAGAATAAATTTTACTATTCATAACTATATATTATCAATCCCTGATTCAGTGATATAATATATATCATGTTTGTTTTGTGTTTCACAGATCTTCCAGAAATCAGAAGCAAAATGAAGGAAAACAAGAATGTGTCCCTAATACATGGATGCACCATCTGCATTATAATTTTCTGTTTAGTGGACCGTGAAAATGGGGTAAAAACTCTAATTTGGCATTAACATTTGAAAGATAATATCATAAGGTACAAGTATACTAAGTTTCCTCAACTTCATCAAAAACTAACTCAACCAAAAACTTTAACCTGAAGCCGGACAGACAGACGAATGAACGGACAGACGGAAGAACAAACGAACGAACAGACCAGAAAACATAATGCCCATAAATGAGGCATAAAAATGGTCCTTCCCTTTAAAACTGTAACAAGTGTCTAGATCCCCAAAGTGTCCCCTATTGTAAATGGTGTGAGGTTATTGTGAGAGATGGGTCAAGATCCCTAATGCACCAGCTCTAGATGAGGAACCCCAAGTAATGTGTAAAAGAAATCTCTGTGTATTGATATTGGACATGTTTCTATTTTTTACAAATGATTGAGCTTAACCATTTGTGGTGATAAGGAAAGTAGAGGGAAATAGAATAAATGTGTAAAAGCTATGGAGCTATTAAAAGTTCAAAGAACTTATTGTGTTAAAACAGGGATTTTTGACCACAAGGAGCCGCATCACGAAAGAATACTCTGGGTTTGCTAATTTACAGAAAAAGTAATCTCACTTCGTACCCTGAAAATTTAACCACAAATAAGAAAATGTCTCAGCTTCAAAACGAGCCATCATATATATCCAAGTTAACGATATGGACTGAGCAACAGAAGAAAACGTTACCATTACGGCCTATGGAGAAACAATTGCAAACCTTGAACCAGATGATTGATAATTGAACATGACAAAATACCTCTCCATCCCTATAAAGTGGGAGACATAAAAATGTAACTGTATAGAGAATACATGAAATTCCTTTTTTAATCTTTCACCAAGATGAGACAATATAATCATCAGTGATATTGTTTGCCTTAAATTAGTGGAGAATAAAGGCTTTTTCCCCTGGAGAAGAATCCCAATTTGAACAAGAGTGCACACGCTGAAATGTCTCGCCTTCTTTACTAATCATTGATATTATGTTGATAGTCCTAAATATAAAGCTTTATTACAACTGTCACATAAACTTAACATTAACCAAGTAAACTAAACATTGACCAATGAACCATGAAAATGAGGTCAAGGTCAGATGAACCATGCTAGGCAGGCATGTACAGCTAACAATTCTTCCATACAACAAATAGAGTTGACCTATTGCTTATAGTTTAAGAAAAACAGACCAAATCACAAAAACTTAACACTGAGCAATGAACCTTGAAAATGAGGTCAAGGTCAAATAAAACCTGCGTGACTGCCAAATAGATCATAAAATATTTCCATACACCAAATATAGTTGAACTATTGCATATAGTATAAGAAAAACAGACCAAAACACAAAAACTTAACTATAACCACTGAACCATGAAAATGAGGTCAAGGTCAGATGACACCTGCCAGTTGGACATGTACACCTTACAGTCCTTCCATACACCAAATATACTAGACCTATTGCTTATAGTATCTGAGATATGGACTTGACCACCAAAACTTAACCTTGTTCATTGATCCATGAAATGAGGTCGAGGTCAAGTGAAAACTGTCTGACGGGCATGAGGACCTTGCAAGGTACGCACATACCAAATATAGTTGAACTATTGCACATAGTATTAGAAAAAAAGACCAAAACTCAAAAACTTAACTTTGACCACTGAACCATGAAAATGAGGTCAAGGTCAGATGACACCTGCCCGCTAGACATGTACACCTTACAATCATTCCATACACCAAATATAGTAGACCTATGGCATACAGTATAAGAAAAACAGACCAAAACACAAAAACTTAACTATAACCACTGAACCATGAAAATGAGGTCAAGGTCAGATGACACCTGCCAGTTGGACATGTACACCTTACAGTCCTTCCATACACCGAATATACTAGACCTATTGCTTATAGTATCTGAGATATGGACTTGACCACCAAAACTTAACCTTGTTCATTGATCCATTAAATGAGGTCGAGGTCAAGTGAAAACTGTCTGACGGGCATGAGGACCTTGCAAGGTACGCACATACCAAATATAGTTGAACTATTGCACATAGTATTAGAAAAAAAGACCAAAACTCAAAAACTTAAATTTGACCACTGAACCATGAAAATGAGGTCAAGGTCAAATGACACCTGCCCGCTAGACATGTACACCTTACAATCATTCCATACACCAAATGTAGTAGACCTATGGCATACAGTATAAGAAAAACAGACCAAAACACAAAAACTTAACTATAACCACTGAACCATGAAAATGAGGTCAAGGTCAGATGACACCTGCCAGTTGGACATGTACACCTTACAGTCCTTCCATACACCGAATATACTAGACCTATTGCTTATAGTATCTGAGATATGGACTTGACCACCAAAACTTAACCTTGTTCACTGATCCATGAAATGAGGTCGAGGTCAAGTGAAAACTGTCTGACGGGCATGAGGACCTTGCAAGGTACGCACATACCAAATATAGTTATCCTATTACTTATAATAAGAGAGAATCTAACATTACAAAAAATCTGAACTTTTTTTTCAAGTAGTCACTGAACCATGAAAATGAGGTCAAGGACATTTGACATGTGACTGACGGAAACTTCGTAACATGAGGCATCCATATACAAAGTATGAAGCATCCAGACCTTCCACCTTCTAAAATATAAAGCTTTTAAGAAGTTAGCTAACGCCGCCGCCGCCGGATCACTATCCCTATGTCGAGCTTTCTGCGACAAAAGTCGCAGGCTCGACAAAAAATAATGGCTTAAAATTTTTCCAAAAAGACAATTTTTTTCCCAAACAGTGCTGTCTCAGTAGAAATGAATGAAGTGCATGAATACAAACTGAAAAACACTCATTTAAACAATTTTCATGCCTAAAATGACTATACTTGCAGATTTGAGGGTCTATTTATGTATCATCACTGACAAAATGAGGTCTTATTTTAAAGCAGGGTTTGACATTGAAGTTTCAGTCAAATTCATGGTTAATTTAAATTTCCCAATTTGATGAAAATGACACATATTTTCCCAATAAAAAAGGGTAGAGGTAGTTTAGAAAAAAGCCAACAATATCACTGGAATCATACCTGATGTACTATAGGCCAAAATTCTTGTTTTCAGGACCTTCAAAAATGTGCAGGTATTGGATCTTTTTCATCAGCATTCTCAAGAACTCTCTTTTTGGTCCACCTTCATCTATGGCACCTTCTGCGATTCCTACATCGTCCGTAAACTTCACACTTATCTTGCTTTTAGCACAGAAGGATTTCCTTTTAATGGCACTCCGAGCACCATCTAAAACAAGGTTTCTGTTGATATTGAATTTCGTTATCTTCTCCAGGTCAACCTGTGACTGTAACTTTATTAATAACTCTGGCAAACTAATATCACTAAAATGAACAAAAAATAGTTGACACAACACAGGTTTCTGACACATAATGAATGTGGTCTAAGAACTTAAACTTAAAAACTTTAAATTTTAAATTGGACATTACCTATTATGGTCCAATATCTAAAATCAAAATACATGGTTAGATTCAGCATATCAAAGGACCCCAAGAATTCAATTTTTGAGGAAATCAAATAAAGTTCAATTTTGGACCCTTTAGACCTCAATGTGGACCAGTTTGATAACCGGGCCCAAACATCAAAAATCTAAATACATGGTTAGATTCAGCATATCAAAGGACCCCAAGAATTCAATTTTTGAGGAAATCAAATAAAGTTCAATTTTGGACCCTTTAGACCTCAATGTGGACCAGTTTGATAACCGGGCCCAAACATCAAAAATCTAAATACATGGTTAGATTAAGCATATATCAAAGAACCCCATATATACAATTTTTGTTGAAATCAAACAAAGATTTATTTTGGACCCCAATTTGGACCAACTTGAAAATTTGGCCTATAATCAAAAATCTAATACATGTTTAGGTTCAGCATATCAAAGAACCCCAGGGATTCAATTTTTGTTGATATCAAACAAAGTTAAATTTTGGACCACAATTTGGACCAACTTGAAAACTGGGCCCATAATAGAAAATCTAAGTACATTTTTAGATTCAGCATATCAAATAACCCCAAGGATTCATTTTTTGTTAAAATCAAACTTAGTTTAATTTTGGACCCGTTGGACCTTAATGTAGACCAATTTGAAAACGGGACCAAAAATTAAGAATCTACATACACAGTTAGATTCGGCATATCAAAGAACCCCAATTATTTAATTTTTGATGAAATCAAACAAAGTTTAATTTTGGACCCTTTGGACCCCTTATTCCTAAACTGTTGGGACCAAAACTCCCAAAGTCAATCCCAACCTTCCTTTTGTGGTCATAAACCTTGTGTTTAAATTTCATAGATTTCTATTTACTTATACTAAAGTTATTGTGCGAAAACCAAAATAAATGCTTATTTGGGCCCCTTTTTGGTCCCTAATTCCTAAACTGTTGGGACCTCAACTCCCAAAATCAATCCCAACCTTCCTTTTGTGGTCATAAACCTTGTGTTCAAATTTCATTGATTTCTATTTACTTAAACTAAAGTTATAGTGCGAAAATAAAAAAAATGCTTATTTGGGCCCTTTTTAGCCCCTAATTCCTAAACTGTTGGGACCAAAACTCCCAAAATCAATCCCAATTTTAGTGCAATTTAAGTATACATAAATAAACATGAAATCTTCAAATACGTACACATCCATTGGTATGGTTTTGTCACCTTCATCATCAGAGTCATCAACTGTTACTATTTCAGTTTCAAACAGCTGGACATATGACCTAAGTAATAAATAAATCTTGGTTTGATTAACCTATTGTACATTCTGTTTTCCTTTTTACTTAAATGCTATTTTTTATGTCTGTAATGTTTATATGAAGTTAAAGACATTTATGACACAACATATGTTGAAACCTCCAGGTTGGGTACTTGTCACCAATACGGATATTCAATTGAAAAAATACATGTAAAGTATGCTGGATTTTCGTATCATATCTTTGACAAAAATAAAAATAATCAACTATCACTAAGTTTGTCTTGTTCTTAATATTGTCTGAGGGTTCAACTGCAAAACACATGACTTTGCCTGGATGATAATCTACTATCTAGGATGCATGCAAATACAAGGTTAGATGATTCTACCATGTATAGTTATAACGCTTCACATACACAAATTTTTCTTACGATTGCTTACGAATCTCAAAACTTTACCAGATTCATAAAACTTTCACAAGCTGCTGATAGGGCTTTAAACCTTAACCAATCGATCAAACCTAAATCTTAAATCAAAATCAAATACATTTGCAAAGTACTGGAATATATCCCAAAACAATCAGAAATGTATATTCATATACATCAAGAAAGAGGGGGGTAGGAGGGGTCCTGATCCCGAAATCCCGGGCTTAAAAACACGAAATCCCGAGGTCCCGAATTTAAATAAAGTTAAATCCCGGATCCCGAAATTTGAAAAAAAGATTTCCCGGATCCCTATGTAGTAAATCCCGAAATCCCGAGCTTAAAAACACCCGATCCCGGAGTCCCAATAAAGGTCCTATCCCCCTCAAGAAAGTATTTATATTTATTCCTAAACTTGTGGCCAACCAATTATAAACTATACTCAATCATTTGTAATTGATTCATAAAGCAATCGTATTCAATTACACACAAAAGACTTTTCACCATTCTTTAAGAATAGTGTTTGTGTTGTTACATTAAGTTAACAATGCTTTACAAATGACTAAGACTGGATGGCGAGCTATTTACGAATGAAGTTATCTAAAAACAATCAGCCATTTGTTGAAAATTATTTGACATGTCAAATCAGGGATCAGCAGAATGTATAAGAGTTGTTTTAAGAGTTAAATTCCAATGCTTGCTGTGAATGACAAAAAAGTTGTAGATTTGTGAGCATTTATAAGAAAAAAATTCTGTATGTGAATTGGTATTAATACTAAGAAAGATGTGAACTTGGAAGTAAACTTAAATGTAAGTCAGTCAAGTAAAAAATATAGGTTACAGTGATTCATTATATCAAGAAATTGTGTCCAGATTATCTACAAATAAAATACCTGTAAGTTGAAGGACATGCTGGAGCATCATTACCAGTAGATGACCGCAAGCTTAATCGAGATCTACGCTCTCTACGTTCTAAGCACGATGGATGAAATGTTATCTATAAAACAGGGTAATCCGTCTTAAAATTAAACAATTTCAAATTGTAAAACAATTGCAGAGTATTCTTGGTCAGCACATATAGCATTTCAACTTATCATACATGCATGTTATTTTAATTCATTTTGATTTTTTAACAAATGTATACTGCTTGTCATCTAAATCAGGTTTCACTTTCTAAGACCTGCTGCTCACTATTTACAGATTCAGTTAATACTGCCATTTTTCTGAAATGAAATCTCCCTAGGCACTTTTGTTTTCTTTTTGACATTTCTTTAATAATAGTTTCGGCAGGCATTGAAATATCTGAATTGTCCATTACTAAAGATTACAGAAACTCAGTTCAGAACTGATACTGGTAGATTTAAATCAAAATTGATCACCTGTGGCGTAAACAGCTATTTAGAACAAGAGATTGAAATAAATTTGGGGCCTTTCTTTTAATGCAATAACAAATTTTCAGTGCGGCATTTGTCATGTTGGATGTAAAATGCAAATTTTGCAATAGTGCCTCCTAGAACATGTAGAATACTCTGGAACTAGTTTAATCAAAGTCCATTGAAATATATTAAATCCAGAGTGCTCACAAGGATGAAACAAACTGAAAATTTTGAAGTTCTGTTTGCCCATGACAATCAATCTATGATCTTAAAAAAGCAATCACATTTGAGGTCATGATATGTAATGAGTTTGTTAAAAAGATGCATGACACACATTTCATAATAAAACCTTTTCACATCCATTCTAATGGAATAGCTAAGTTACATGTAAATACTAACTGTCGGTGTGCCTGTATCTTCCCGATCACCTTCCGGATCACCTTCCACTATATCTTGACTTTGCACAGTTTTGGTGATGTCTGTTTGTGGTTTCTACAATATTCATAAAACTATATTATCCTAGTTCAATAAATTCCTTCAGGATTATTATCCTACAGGAGTGTGTCAAAAATACACACCAGAAACATACACTTCAAAATACTGAAGTAATATTTAGCACTAAATTCATAGAATACTGCAAATAATAATTTATTAGTTTAAACATATTTATTTATACTGGATTGGGAAACAAGTTTTTCATCTTATATTAATCCCTTTCCACTTTGCAGGTGCTAGTGCTGCTTGTAGCGGCATTACCCTGCTCTTTTTTTCGAAATCTACAAGGGTGTCCTTTACATGCAAGAGATATGACTCTCTCTTAACACTAATTTAATTTATTGCATACAACATGTACAAAGAGCTGTTCGGGAAGTAGTTTCATTGTGTACACTTAAAACTTATAGCACATCATGGAATGCTGTTTGCAATTGGATTTACATTAAACATTAACACTGTCATTGAAGCAAATGCTATTTTTTCTTTCCCTTTCCTAGACATCCCCCCCTCATAATTTTAATGCAAAGGTGTCATTTTTCTTCTGAAAAGTGTTAATATGGTAAATGTCACAACCATAAACAAACTAAAAAATCATTTTTAATAAAATGCTCCGCAGGGCGCAGCTTGATACGACTGCAGAGGTCGAACCCTGAACAGTTGGGGCAAGTATGGACACAACATTCAAGCTTGATACAGCTCTGAATTTGGATTGTGATTAAATATTTGACACAGCATAGGTTTCTGACACAGAATGAATGTGGTCTAAGAACTTAAAAATTTTAAATTGGACATTCACCTATTATGGTCCAATATCCAAAATCTAAATACATGGTTAGATTCAGCATATCAAAGAACCCCAAGAATTCAATTTTTGATGAAATCAAACAAAGTTTAATTTTGGACCCTTTTGACCTCAATGTGGACAAAGTTGATAACGGGGCCCAAAAATCAAAAATCTAAATACATGGTTAGATTCAGCATATCAAAGAACCCCATATATTCAATTTTTGTTGAAATCAAACAAAGTTTAATTTTGGACCCCGATTTGGACCAACTTGAAAACTGGGCCCATAATCAAAAATCTAAATACATGTTTAGATTCAGCATATCAAAGAACCCTAAAAATTCAATTTTTGTTAAAATCAAACTAAGTTTAATTTTGGACCCTTTGGACCTTAATGTCAGTCAGGGGTACTACTTGTACAAGTAATTTTTATTTACTTGAAGAAGTAAATAAAATATACTTATACAAGTTAATTATATTGTTTGAATAATCTCCCCTTAATTTTCTAAAAAATTTACTTGTATAAGTAAATTTTTTTTACAATCCCACAAAAATTCTCAAGTTTTGAGATGTAAAATCATGCCTTTAACAATTTTTCTCAGGTTAGCTCATAATTTTTAATAAGAGTTCAATGTTTCATCTCATTAATTCAACACAGAAACTGATTGAGCAAAGATCTTAAGTATTTGCGCAAGGCCTTCAAAAATTGCTCCTTGGGGGCTTGTAAATGAGCAGTGTTCTAAAGATAAAAGACAAATGAGATTTTCATTGTCCATGAAATTACACTTAAATGAATAGTAAAGACATCTGCAAAGGACAGACAATTCAAAATTCTGTTAGAGCAAAGAAGTTCTAAGAATTCAAGAAAAGAAGATAGGATGACTTTTTTACTTGTATAAGTAAAAAAATCTGAATGCCTAAGGGACATAACTAGGCCAAAAAATAATTTACTTATACAAGTAAATAAAATACACTTGTATAAGTATCCTACAAATTTACTTATATAAGTATATTATAATTACTTCTTCAAGTAAATAAAAATTACTTGTACAAGTAGTACCCCTGACTGAATGTAGACCAATTTGAAAACGGAAACAAAAATTAAGAATCTAAATACACGGTTAGACTCGGCATATCAAAGAACCCCAATAATTCAATTTTTGATGAAATCAAACAAAGTTAAATTTTGGACCCTTTGGACCTCAATGTGGACCAATTTAAAAATAGGGCCCAAAATCCAAAAACTTAATACACGGTTAGATTCAGCATATTAAAGAACCCCAAGAATTCAAGAATAAAACCCCATTGAAATTGATCAAGAAATAAGCAATTTATACGAAGTATCTTCTTCTGCACAATACTGTGCAATTGAATATTTCTTGCTATTGCGCAATACTGTACAATTGACAATTTCTTGCTATTGCGCAATATTGTGCTATTGGATATTTCTTGCTAATGCGCAATACTGTGCAATTGAAGATTTCTTGCTATTGCGCAATACTGTGCAATTGAAGATTTCTTGTTATTGTGCAATACTGTGCAATTGAAAATTTCTTGCTATTGCACAATACTTATTATATAATAATTTACACATCCTGTTTGGTGTGTATCTCCTACCATATCATTATTATTTGCTTTTAAATATTAATCAGAAATAACCAACTTAAAATGAAAAATTTTAAAAGAAAAAAAAAAGAAAAAAAAAAATCCCCCCTCCCAAATTTTTTGAACCCCCTTATGATTCATCACCCCCAAACTCAATACCAGCCTTCCCTTTGTGGTATGGTACCTTGCAGTACAATTTCAGAGAGATCCATACACTTGAACACAAGTTATTGTCTGGAAACTAGAAAAATGCTTATTTTTGGCCCCTTATTCCTAAACGTTTCGGGCAATTACCCCCAAACTCAATTCCAGCTTTCCCTTTGTGATATGGAACCTTGTAGTACAATTTCAGAAATATCCAAACACTTACACACAAGTTATTGTCATGAAACTAGAAAAATGCTTGTTTTTTGCCCCTTTTTTGGCCCCTAATTCCTAAAATTTTGAGGCAATTACCCCCAAAATCAATTACAGCCTTCCCTTTGTGATATGGAACCTTGTGGTACAATGTCAGAGAGATCCATACACTTACACACAAGTTATTGTCTGGAAGTTACAAAAATGCTTATTTTTGGCCCCTTTTTGGCCCCTAATTCCTTAACTGTTGGTACCATAACCCCCAAAATCAATCCAAACCTTCCTTACGTGGTATTGAACCATATGGTAAAATTTCATGGAGATCCATTCGCTTAAACTAAAGTTAGAGTGCGAAAACCAATGTGTCTTCGGACGACGATGACGACGCCAACGTCATACCAATATACGACCAAAAATTTTAATTTTTGCGGTCGTATAAAAATGCATGAATTTAGCTAACAAAGTGTGGTCATGAAAATGAACGTCAGCGAGTCGATCGATCTATATAAAAAAAAAATTGTTGTAGGGGCAAAAGATATAAAATTTATTTCATGAAAAGCTTAACGTTAACATCATCATGATGATCCATTTATCTGAATGTGTCACAAGATTGCTATTTAGTGTTACATGCACAATTGTTAATTACAAACTAGACTGTACTGTCTTCAAGGGAACCTGTATGTCGCCTGCATTTTATTCATAGCATTGCACACATTATTTATGTCCACAGTCCACTATGTGTAATTTCAAAGTTTTTGATAAACAGGATGTAGTTGAGTGACAGCAATGAAAAACAATTCTAAAGGATAAAGCATAGAGATGCAAAATATCAAATGTCTGTACTGCATGTAGTTGTAGAGAAAACTGCAATGAAATTTTGCATACATATTTGACGAGCATGCCTTAAATATCAAAGTTTTTGGTATTAAATAGGAAGTACATAAGCAAAGCCATGAAAATGCTTTACGCGTCATAGTACTTCGAGATAAAGCATTCTCCAAAATATTAAGTCTGCTGCATGTAGTTGATAAGAAAACTGCAATGAAAATGTGTGACAACATTGCGGTGCATATGCGGCAAAGGTCTTGGAAAGATGGATTTTGTCAAAGTGACCCCTATATAAAACACAGGCGACATAAAAATATATTATATGTATCAGTATATACATGAAGTGCACTTGGATAAGAATATTAATCTATAGGTACATAGAGTGAGTATGATAGTATTACCAAGCATTTCATACCTGTTGTGTGTCGAGTACGAATACAATTTTCTGCCACTGTACAAATATTGTTTTTATCCTGTATTTATAAAATGTACAAATTATTTTTTCATACCAACAGAATAACAGAAAGACATTCTTAAAAAAATGATTCCATATGAACACATCATATAGGAAAGCATGAATCATGTAAAATTAAAATGGGTCAAAGACAGAAAGGGCCAGTTTTTGTTAAACAAGAAGAAGAGCTACAAACCTCACTCTGAAATCACATCTCATTGATGTGAGAGCCCATACAGAAGCTGCATACCAAATATGAAGAGCCTGTGATTTTTAGTTCCTGAGATAAATATTAAAAATACAGTATTTCCCTGCGACCAACATTCACATATTATAATTAAGCTGATTTTTCAACTCGCAAAATCCAGCCAAAAATCATTAATCTAACTTGAAGGTAAAAGACCATCATCCTACATGTAGCAAGAGCAGAAACATCACCTTCATGTGATCTATCCACATGCAAAATAATAAAAGCCTATCACAAATTTTAGGTACATGCTAGACATGATTTTGTTTTGAGTGGCAGCTGACGACTGATTACTATAGTGTGACCACCACTAAGAAACATTGTTTTATTTATTGTCGATTAAAACTACATGTGTAATATCCTGTGTTCTATGGTTTTGAGCTCTAAAAAGTTATGATGCTGCATAATTACCTGTAAAGAGTGTGTCTTGCCGAATACTGGAAGTTCCTCGTCTGTCATGTCTGTGTCATCTAATTTGTTTTGATCCATCATGTCCATATCATTTTCGAACTAAAAATGAATTCATACTTGTAAAACAACTATCAATATTTTTGCAGTAAGATACTATATCACTAATTAGAAAACTTTTTATGTGTGTTAACGAACATTGCAAAAAATCTGCACCCATCCCCCCTAAAAGAAGAACATTACATTAAATTATATTTCTTTCCTTTAAATGGATATTGCAACTCCCTCAAGACTCATTATACAGTTTGATGTTATTAATTCTTTAATAAATATTTTGCGGCCCATATTTTGTCATACAACTAAAAGTAGGTGTTTTACTGTTTACTTTCTCAGGTAACATTTAACTTTGTGATCAATGCTTATGTGTAGTTGTCCTTCATGTATAGTTATACAATATTAAACTGTATTTGTCATATAACAGTCAGGGGTACTACTTAAACAAGTGATTTCATTATCACCTATTTCAGTGATTTTTTAAATTCAGTTATCACCTATTTAAGTGATTTTGGTGCTTCCTTTGATCTTCAAATGCTAATTTCATTGATTTTCCATATTTTCACAAACTTTTCTATAATTTTCCTATATAGATCAATTATCCCTTTATCTTTGGATATCAATTTCACTAGTGCGCTTGGCCAGTAAGTTAGTGCGCTAAAGCTTTTAAAAGTACCCTTGGGAATTGTTCTGTAATCAAATATTCATTAACTACTCTTACTATCAGACAAAGGTCAACAATATTAGGTAACCTGATTGGTTTTCTTTATAGTTAGAATGACTTATTTCAAGGTTATGTCCTGATCTACAAATTATTCCAGTTTTTGCATATTTAAATAAACTGTAAAAACTGACAGGCTTATCAAGCAAAAGACAATTTCTGCATGTACATAGTTGTCTTTTCAATTGAATTCTTGTCTTTTTACCAATAAAAAAATCAAGCTTATGGGAAAAATATCAAAAAAATGTTATAAACACTTATTGAAGTGATTACATTTTAACTTCTCAAATTACTTGTTTCAGTGATTTTAAAAAGTCTGTGCGAAAATTTTTAATATTTCACAGACAAAATCACAAAAAGAAGTGATTCTGAAATCACTTGTTTAAGTAGTACCCCTGACTGTATAAGTAACATTATACTTTTAACATAAACAAAAATAACAACAACAATAAAATAACTGAGTGGAACACACACATATCTATATATACACAAGTAAAACTAACTAAGAGTTCCCTGTCCTCAGTTCTTAAAAGACTGTTGTTAAAAACATAATAAAGGAACCTGTTTTTTCTGACACTTGGTTTATATTTGACGGATTTAGTAGGACTACTAGTTTTTCAGTATCAGATAGATTTGGAAACATAGGATTATCTATTGCCATGTCATTAAAAGGTTTTATACGTAAAGCATTATTAATTTGACAGTGGAGGAGAAAGTGATTTTCATCTTCTAAGGTTTTACAAGTTGGACACGACGTAACGTTCTATTGTTTTGAGGTATGTTTAGATTATCTGCCCTTCAATGATCAAATTATGGTAACTAATTCTAACTTTTTGTAAATAAACGTCTAGTTTGTTTCAAAAATTTGGATGAAGATAAAATTTTTGGTCTTGTTTGACTTTAATATTTTTGAATGAAAGAAAAAGTTTGTTATTTTCATTTAAACTGTTCATGTTATTTTCCAGTAATTCTGAATTAAAGTTGCATGTAATATTCTTAATCAAAGTCTGTAGTTTTTCACTTGTTCCATATTTTGACAGGACACTATTTTTTGTATATCAATATTCATTTCTTGTGTTGAATCTACCAGAATTTTTCTAATTCCATTTTTTTGGAAAATATTGTACAATGAATGATAAAATACAATGTACACACCTCAGGGCCCTCGACGAGAACATATAGCTTCCCTTGACCAATCAGAGCCTTCAGCCCTATTCCATCAAATTTGAATGTTGATGGTTCATTTGGTTTGGATAATTTTTTATGGGAGCACGATAAAAAATTGATCTTGGTGGGATCTTTGTCAGTACTGTCAAATATGTCAAGTAGTTTGTTTTTAATAGTGTCCTCTGTATCCTCCGAACTTATGTTAATTAATCCTTCTTCTAGGATAATATCTGCACACAGAATGCCTGGCAATTTTATATTTCCAATAAAAACAACTTTATATGACTTTTCAAATAACTTCTTCTTCTTCTTCATTTGTTGTCTGATGTCTTTTCTGGAGGCAGCTCCCTGTATTGGTGAGAAATGTGTCCTTGGGTGTGAAGTGGCTTTTGACGACTTAAACACAGAAGCAATCTGCTGAGCCCATCCACTTGTACTTGGCCTGTTGCCAATGATATCTCTTGCTTGTCCTATATTAAGTAAATATTATTATAGTAAAATTAAAAAGATAAAATTAAAGCAGTTGGCGATTATCATGACAAAATTTTAAACTAAACAATTATTTGGAAAGATATTACTTCAGGTAAATGTATCACAACTTAAAGACACGGTATCATACCATAATTTTTCAACACATTTTTTGGCGGTCATGTACTCGTCTAAAAGTACTGAAGTTAATTAGGTATCAAAAATCCTTTCACCCTTTTTATCATCTGTTTCACCCCTTATTTTCCAAAACAGTATTGGGTAGAAAGCTCAAAATCACTCACAGTCATAGTATAGTACTCAGATATCTTATTTTCAAAGTTCCTAAAGAACAATCAACTAATACTTTTAAATCATTCGATAGTATTGCAAAAACAATTCAGAGAATTTGCTCAAAAGATATAGGTTTAAAAAGAGCCTGTTCGAGACATAATTCATTGAACTTTTTTTTCATCAATCTGCAACAAAAGTGGGCAACTGATCTTTGCCAAGCTATTAGGTTTTTTGTTGAGTTTCATCAATACAAAGAGCTCAGCACCTGTACATGCTGTAGTTTTGTTGTACAAAAAAATAATTGATTTTTCTACCAACCATGAATGTACATACCAGCACGTTCTGCTGTTGTTACAACAATATATCTTCTTGTTCCCCAACCTCCATCTGGAGAAGAAAACCCTCTTGTATCAGCTGCAACGGCTTTCAACACCCCTCCTACATGGTACCTCAAACCCACTGCTGAAGGAAACTGTGATTTGAGTGTCTCCCTCTCCAAAACATCTTCTTTAAGTGGCAATAAGACCTCAGCATCATAACAAAGTTCACTATGTGAAACCTTTATATGACCTGACATCATATAAACCTAAAAACAGAAATATGGAAACCAATTATTGATCAGAGTCTGAATCGTTCACCTAAAATATCATGACAATTGCCACCAAATATTTGAAATTTGGGAACACAACTGGACTATTTTAACTCACTTGTGCATATAATTCTGGTTTCCATTGGCATTGATTTTGAATATTTTTTCTAATACATGTATATCCCTATCCTCTCCTCTCTATTTATATTTCACAGGCACTTGGGTTCCCAGCCAGATATACAGGGAAGTAAGAATAGTCCATTTTTATAAAAATTAGCAACCATGGGCCTGTGTTACAATGTATCTGAGTGCCCAAGAAACCCATAATGGCATTTATAACAAGAAGTAATTGTAACAAGATGCTGTTACGAAGTCTCCCAAACAAAGCTCCCTTAATTTGCAATTCCTATGGTCACAAATTCATTTGATTTGTTTTATTGTCCCATACAAGAACATATATATGGTCTAGGGACAAAGATCTTGATCGTTTACAATTTATCAAACATGAGGGGGTGGGGGTGACCCTTACGGACTGCACCTATATTTCATTTGAATTGCGTTGTTATCCCATGCGATATGCAAGAATATGGTTAAGGGGTGGGGATCTTGACCATTTACAATTTATCAAACATAAGGGGATGGGGGTGCTCCCCATAGACATCCCCTACATGTAATATTTCGTTTTATTTGTTTTATTGTCACATACAAGAATAAATGGTTTACCGTTTAGGGTGGGGATCTCAACCATTTAAAATATGTTCAAACATGATGGGGTAGGGGTGACCCCGATGGACTCTCCCTATTTTTCATTTGATGTGTTTGTCCCATACAAGAATATATATGATATAGGGGTGGGGATCTTGACCGTTTACAAGTTTGCAAACTAGAGGGGGTGGGAATGACACACACCCCCAACTTCCCTTTAATTTCATTTGTTTAACTGTCCCAAACTAAAGTATATATGGTTTAGGGGTGGGGATCTGAACCATTTACAAGATAATAGCACATTCTCAAATTGAAGGGGGTGGAGTGACCCAGGGACTCACCTTTAGTTTTATTATCCTGTGATCATTTTTGAAGACTATGTGTCTTTCACTTGCTGTTTTCAAGTTATAGATATAGGAAGTCATGTTGTGTGAATGCCAAAGAGACAACTCTCAATCCAAATAACAATTTATAAAAGTAAATAACCAGTATAATAATACTAATTATAGGTCAATGTACGGCCTTCAACATTATAGTCATTTAAAATTAAAAAAAAAATAAAAACCCATAGGGTTCTGTAGTAAAACTGTCCCTTCCTTATGCCTCCCCAAAATACCCCTTAATAAACCCCGATACTGCATGCACAAACGAAAGGTTGATGGCTCCCCTAATCATATTAATTAGTCTAACATTTTATGAACCCTAAGTATATCTGACAAGCAGTTTTGGAGAACAAGTTTATTTTTCAAAACGTATCGGAAGAAAAAGAAAAATAATAATAAAAGTAATATGAACAGAGCAACAAGAGTGCACACACTGAAATGTCTCGCCTTCTTTACTAATCATTTATATTATGTTGATAGTCCTAAATATAAAGCTTTATTACAACTGTCACATAAACTTAACATTAACCAAGTAAACTAAACATTGACCAATGAACCATGAAAATGAGGTCAAGGTCTGATGAACCATGCTAGGCAGGCATTTACAGCTAACAATTCTTCCATACAACAAATATAGTTGACCTATTGTTTATAGTTTAAGAAAAACAGACCAAAACACAAAAACTTAACACTGAGCAATGAACCTTGAAAATGAGGTCAAGGTCAAATAAAACCTGCCTGACTGACATATAGATCATAAAATATTTCCATACACCAAATATAGTTGAACTATTGCATATAGTATTAGAAAAAAAGACCAAAACTCAAAAACTTAACTTTGACCACTGATCCATGAAAATGAGGTCAAGGTCAGATGACACCTGCCAGCCAGACATGTACACCTTACAATCATTCCATACACCAAATATAGTAGACCTATTGCATACAGTATAAGAAAAACAGACCAAAACACCAAAACTTAACACTGAACAATGAACCTTGAAAATGAGGTCAAGGATAAATAAAACCTGTGTGACTGACATATAGATCATAAAATATTTCCATACACCAAATATAGTTGAACTATTGCATATAGTATTAGAAAAAAAGACCAAAACTCAAAAACTTAACTTTGACCACTGAACCATGAAAATGAGGTCAAGGTCAGATGACACCTGCCAGCTAGACATGTACACCTTACAATCATTCCATACACCATTTATAGTTGACCTATTGCATATAGTATTAGAAAAAAAGACCAAAACTCAAAAACTTAACTTTGACCACTGAACCATGAAAATGAGGTCAAGGTCAGATGACACCTACCAGTTGGACATGTACACCTTACAATCATTCCATATACCAAATATAGTAGACCTAATGCTTATAGTATCTGATATATGGACTTGACCATGAAAACTTAACCTGGTTCACTGATCCATGAAATGAGGTCGAGGTCAAATGAAAATTGTCTGACGGGCATGAGGACCTTGCAAGGTACGCACTTACTAAATATAGTTATCCTATTACTCATAATAAGAAAGAAATTAACATTACAAAAAATGTTGACTTTTTTTTCAAGTAGTCACTGAACCATGAAAATGAGGTCAAGGACATTGGACATATGACAGACGGAAACTTCGTAACATAAGGCATCTATATACAAAGTATGAAGCATCCAGGTCTTTTAGCTTCTAAAATATAAAGCTTTTAAGAAGTTAGCTAACGCCGCCGCCGCCGGATCACTATCCCTATGTCGAGCTTTCTGCGACAAAAGTCGCAGGCTCGACAAAAACAATTAGTTTGGGAGACTAAATAATAAGAACAGTCTTTGCAACATTCCTGTGGAGTGCAGTGTGTTGAACCTTCTATCAGTAGATACATTTTGTACATTGAAGGACCAATATGGATACACTTTTAGTATTTGACATATTGCAGAGAATGGTGGGTTGACTCAGTCCCACAAAGCATATTTGACACACAAAAAAGGTTTGGATAATCTATAAATATGCTTGGATATATAATCTATTGATAACCTGATCGACTACTTTTCAAATTGACAAAAGACTTCAGACCAGAAATAGAGTCAAACTCCTACCTGAAGATCTATTCAAAAAGTGTTTGTTTGTGCAACCCGACTTGATTAAATAGTCATAATGAATTTAATTCATTGAAATGTAACATGCTATCATAGATACTTAATTTCCCATTCATTGTGTCACAAAAAAGGGTTAAAATGGAATCAACTTGGAGACAATTTGACTGAACAGAATGGAGTGTGAGCCATACGTGTTCATTTTTATCAATGGAGATCACTAAAACTTGTTATAGAGCCAAGGGATATTTGTGTTTTAAATATACAAAATCTAGAGCACTTGCAAGTAAGAAATTGATATTTTCAGTCATATAAAAGACCATAACTCTTACTCTATATATATGACAAATCTGGCTGACACTCAAGCCTGTCTATGAATTAATGGATATTAAGCTGCATGCTTTTAAATTTCATGAATCAATCAACAAACAAATTGTAGAATCCTTATATAAGTGAATTAAGAGCTGTGATATAAGTACATGATAAGCCCATTGCCCCTTTAGCTTGTCTTTATGCTTTAAATGATTTTTTTTTACATTAATTAAGCGGTTAGATTTCTCATTTAAATTGTTTGACAGCTGTCAATAGGGATCTTACATCAATAGATATAAACAATTCACCAAAGTTTCATGAAAGTTGGTGAAAGTGTTTTAGGGTTATTATTGTTCCACCCTTTTTTAAGTATAAAAGTTCATTACTGGAAAACGTATAATCTGAAATTTATAAAAATTGGAAGGTACCTTAAGCATCTTAAGCCAACAGATATAACATGTATACACAATTCACCAAAATTTTGTGAAAGTGTTTATGAGTGATTGTCCGGAAACTGGAAAATTCCACCTTTTTTAGGCATAAAAATTCATGACACAGAAACATAAACTGTGAAATTTTAAAAAAATCGAAAAAGTCACATATACAGTATGTCAATAGATATAAACAATTCACCAAAGTTACAGACAACGGTATACAATAAAATGTCCGGTATTAGACAGGCGTATAAAAATGACACTTTTCTGTCAAACAAAGAGCCATAAATCCTGTTCTTGGGCTTATGCATTTTAAGCAAAAGTATCCATACCGAGGTGCCATAAAGAGAGAAAATCAATGGATGGAGAACAAAACAACAAGATGGTGACACATTCAACATACAATTTGGAATATTTACTTGTATATTAAAGGACTAATTCCCCCTCCCCTTCCCCATTTTCCTAATGTAAATATAAATTTAATCCATTCAAAAAATAAAACAAGTGAAACTACAAGCTACTGCTCACTGATGATACCCCCGCCGCAAGTGGATAATATTAATAGTGTAAAAATATGCAAGTGTTCGGTAAACAGGAAGTTGTTGAGTGATGAATCTGAAAACACATCACACAGTATAGCTGACTTATATAAACCCTGAAACCAAATTTCAGAAATCCTTGTATTGAAGTTCCTGAAAAAATGTGAAGAAAACTTTCAACTTGGCTATCATGTTTAAAATCATACAAGTGTTAGGTAAACAGGAAGTTGTTGAGTGATGAATCTGAAAACACATCACACGGTATAGCTGACTTATCATGCTTATACATGTTATATAAACCCTGAAATCAAATTTCAGAAATCATTGTATTGTAGTTCCTGAAAAAATGTGATGAAAATTTTCAACTTGGCTATCATGTGTAAAATCATACAAGTGTTCGGTAAACAGGAAGTTGTTGAGTGATGAATCTGAAAACACATCACACGGTATAGCTGACTTATCATGCTTATACATGTTATATAAACCCTGAAACCAAATTTCAGAAATCATTGTATTGTAGTTCCTGAAAAAATGTGATGAAAATTTTCAACTTGGCTATCATGTGTAAAATCATACAAGTGTTCGGTAAACAGGAAGTTGTTGAGTGATGAATCTGAAAACACATCACACGGTATAGCTGAATTACATAAACCCTGAAACCAAATTTCAGAAATCATTGTATTGTAGTTCCTGAGTAAAAATGCAAAAATATTCATGGGACGGACTGATGGAAAGATGGATGGACAGACAGAGTTAAAACAGTATACCCCCCCCCCTTTTTTTAAAGCGGGGTATAATCCTAGTCAGTGCTAACAAGTTGGAAACGACAAATTTTCAATCATATAAAGGGCAATTTCTCCTTGAAATAAAAGTGAATCTGGCTGAAATTCGAAATTGTCCTATGAGAGGCTATGAATATATATATAGCTCTCATTATGTGTATAAATATGAACAAAATATGCTGACAAATAAAAGTTCTAGAGAGCTAAGAATTCCTGAAGAAAAATATGTTTTGAAATATGCAAAGACATATAGTAATTATTAACCACAGTGGGATGTGGAAAAAAAATCTACTTCAGGGATTCAGAGATGGGAACTAGAACACATTCCAATTTTTCCATAAACGGCCATTGTGGTGCATATTTCGGCACTTTTTTACATTGGTTATTAGATGTACCGCAACTCTTTCCAACAAGTGTTTCCATCTGATGAACCTGCTGTCAATTTCCAGTTCTGGTTTACGGATTTTTTATAAACAAAGCGAGTACTTTGTGGCAAATAAACCAAGATTTCTATAGAAAATCCACAGCCTTCAATACAGAGATTTTTGTTATAAAATTTCAAACATAGATTACTCACTTGCTTTTCTAAAATGTGCTTGTGTTTATTAATTGTTTACAAAAAAATATAAGCAACCTGTAAATTCCCAAACATCTGGTGCTGAGCCAGTCAAGTGCACCCTAAAAGGTGTACTTAATTTGAGCTAAATTCTTATTTGTTTTAACCATTATTATAACTAAAGTAATAAACTTGTTTTGAGAAAATTTCAATGCTCGCAATAATCCTATATCTATCAGTCATTAAATTGCCTTATTTGAGGGAACAAGGATAAATAGAAAAGGCTGTGGATGTTCTAGTCTAAATAATATTATGACGTCTGGCAAGGCTATTTTGGTCGCAGGAAGGCGTCCAAGAAAAAAATCAAAATAGCCTTGCCAGACGTCATAATTATTTGGACTATGGATTTTCTATAAACTTTCCATATGTTTAGTATTGAATCAACACAAGGGTACATAATCCTAACAGTAACACTAACAGTAACAGCCTGCAATGCCGGACTCGCATGAACGCAAGATTTAGTTAGTGGGGCGACGCGTTTTTTTAATTCTTGGTCATGCATTCGTGTTGAGAAAGAAAGGGGGGAATGCAAACAGTTACACAAAGCGTTACCTTCTCATATATCTATCAACAGCTAATCAAACGTACAACTTCAACATGTGAGTCAAGCAGGGGCTGCCATTTTCGACTATATCGACCAATCACAAACGTTGTTGCAAATTTGACCTTGTGACGTCAAACAATTTCCCATAATGCAATTATTGCATATAAATAAAAATTATTGCATATAAATAAAAATTATTGCATATAAATAAAAAAACGACAATTATACCAATTGAATGAAAAATATTGCAGTACAATGACAAGTTATACAAATTGAATAAAAAATATTGCATTTGAATGACAAATTATACCATTTGAATAAAAAATTATACCATTTGAATGAAAAATTATACCATTTGAATAAAAAATATTGCATTTAAATGAAAAAATATACCATATAAATGAAAAATTATACCATTAAAATAAAAAATATTGCATATAAATGAAAAAATATACCATTTAAATGAAAAAATATACCATACAAATGAAAAAATGTTGCATATAAATAAAAAAATATTGCATATAAATGAAAAAATATACCAATTAAATGAAAAATATTGCATTTAAATGAAAAATATCAAATTTTTGCAACCAATACCATGCCATAAATGATTAAAATAAATCACTTGCTATCTATATAATTATATCAATTGTCTCCTTACAAATATCCTAAATGAATGTTTGACATTTACAAAGGTTGTTTGCCAAATTCAGATAACTTCGAACACAATGTTTTTCTTCATATACAGGGTGCATTGAGAACAACAGTTTACTTGTTTTGATATGACTTTGCTGTATTATGTATATACGTCTGATGTAAAATGAAAATATAGTATGCAGTGCATTAATAATGTTATTTGCTAGCAATAAAATAATTAGAGTATTTCGCATTTTCTTACTTGTTCAAAAGGTGAACATCAATTGGATGTATTGTTTTCACACTTCATTCCCTTCTTTATTTATCATCCATCTGTGAATTCTTTTATTTCATCCGATGAAGAAATATTCCTTTACTTTCGGTTTTTATTCACTGTGGCTTTGACAGTGTGACATAAATAACCAAGGTAGTTAAAAAAAAATTTAATTGACTAAAGATCTTTAAAATATGGAATTGTGATTTGATTTTTTTTTTTGTTTTAATTTAATGGGCCCAGATAAGCACAAAACAGTATTCTAAAGATCCGATGAATATTCAAAACCAATTATAGAATTTAACAGACTTTACTCATATACATATCGAAAGTAATACGTTTCGCTTGTGCATGTTCACACGTTAAGGACTTCGTTAACAGGAGTTTGCTTCTTACACAAAAACTTCCATAACAGAGTTATATGGCAGAACAATCGAAACCGACACTACATAAGTTTTATGGCACCGTTACGAATTGGTTTATCGATACGATGAGTATGTGTCTCAACTCACTACTGACATATTGATTAGGCAGGTTTTTTTTGGAAAAAAAAAGACATTCTGGGTAACTAGATTTATTGTTATGATATTTAGAGTTAAGTCATTTTGTTCAGCCTTATTGTCTACCTCATAACCGTTCACCACTCATAACCGTTCACCAGCTGAAAAATATGTCAAAGTTGACAACTGTGATGTTTTTGTTAATTTTTACAGGTGAAACAAGTTAGACAATGTGGACTAGTTGTTGTAGTGCCCGCTTATCTTTGTTTTGCATCTTTCTTTTCAGAGAAGTCCGGTGTAATTGGTGGTTGGTGCAGTTATATGCTATCTACTAATTTTTGTTTTGTTATATATCATTTATGCAAAATATGGAGACAGTTGTAAAAATTGAAATAAAATGATTAATGGATTAGGTTTTGAATTTGTAGTACGACACCTTTTAACCAAAATCAAATACCAAAATAAAAAGATAAGTGCATTCTATTTAATAAAGGCAAAGTTTAAGACAACGATAAACTAAGAATAAAAAATATATAATCATTTCAAAATTATATGAAAAAAATATTTCTACTGATGATGACCTGTAACTTCAGCGAGTGTTTGCATCTTATATACCAGTGAACTTGTGATTAATTAAGGAAACAACCAAAACTAGATGGTTTGTTTCATATCTTGATTTTTTTCTTCGATATTGACACAGATGGACGACTTCAAACTAGAATCTATGACAAATATGATAATTTTGGCTTTGCAATTGTCAACTTTCCATTTCTCAGAATCTAGTAGCAATACCATCCTCTCTATTTCAATTGAACGTTACGCTCTCGTGCATGTTCATACTATGGACTTGATAAGAAATGGTGTGCTCCTTGTACAAAAACTGCTCCAACCAAGTTATAAGGAAGAACATCTAAAATCGACAGTACATAAATAGTACGACCACCATCACAAATTGGTTGACCGATACAATTTGTCAGTGTCTTAACTCACTAGCAACATTTTTTCATAGTCTAATATCTTTAGATAGCAGAATAGCCGTGTAATCTGTAATTTTACCGAGTGTTTCCTATTCCCGATTGAGGCATTTTGATTGAGTGTGGAAGATACATGCATGAAAGGAGACGCTGTATCCTGTCGTCGTACTTTTCTTTCAGTTTTGTTTGTTTCCTTGATGTACCTTCTTAATCGATTTATGAGATAAAAATATCGGTACAGTAGTGTTGCCTTAATTCTTAATTCTGTTAATCCCTGAAATATGCGTAGGCAAATGCATATAAAACAAATCAGTAATTGGATATTCCATTTCGCGAGGCGGTGAAAAATTTAGATGAATAACTCAGAACTGAACAAACCAAAACGTCAAATGAAATAAAAAATGATAAGTACATATATTCATACTTTTAAGGGATTCATGAGTGATCATTCTTTTACAATAAATAAACCAATTGAAAACAACCGAGGAATTGTATGAACTCCAATATAAGCGAGACAGGATTTGTCGAAAGGGTAAGCGGATTAATGTCAAAATAGGTAAGATATGACAGTTCTAAGTTTTTTATGAAACTTTTTGAAACACGGACTTGAAATATAATTTTATAATTAAAGCAAATTCCTTAGAAAAATTGAGAAACCTTAAACACAATGTATTTTAGTTTTGGTAAGATATAATTGTTCTCAAAGTATTTACGTACGTTTACGCATGGTAATTACCGATTGTTTATCTTCATGTGTATGTTGACATGAATTATCATTGGTATGGTCATAATTATGAATTAACTGTTAACAAAACTTGGAATTTTTCGAATTACTCAGGATTTTCTATCCCAAGATTAGATTATCTTTGACAAAACCTTTTGGATATTTTGGTATCTCAATGCTCTTTAAATGTTTACAAATGTTTAAAATGATATAATTTCCGGTGTAAAATGACAGTTAGCGGAAACGATGTCAACTTCACAATAATAGATTATTTATGTTTCTCTACATGCAAATGGGATGGTCTCATTTCTGTATCATTAAATGAGGATAATCAATTTGTGATTCGCAACAACAGGACAAAGTACTATTAAAAAAATGACATTAAAGCATATATGAATTTTCGTTCAATATAGTATTATAAAAAAAGTAACACCACTCCCTCCCCCTTTACCAGAACAAACAAAATAAGAAAAAACAAAAAACAAAAAAACAATAGCGATCGAGCCTATCAAACTTTATCGGAGTCTTCATTTAAAATATTAATTCAACTCGATATTGCACAGATAAATAGATCGATAAGCCATTCGATGTAGTTTTTATTCTTATCACTATTCAGTATATACATGTATTATATTTGTTAAATAACAAGAACATTTCAAGTTTTTAAACTTTATCAAATATAAATAGGTTGACCTCAATACATAAAATACCCGGATGGAAAAAAGGTAACGGGAAAGTAAATTCTGGTCTGATTTTAATACTGGACAATTGTCAGTATGGATACTAACCCAACATCTGGAAAACCATGTATTGGAGCCGAAAAATCAACTTTGAGTCCAGTCGATATAGCCATGCATGAACTCAAAGAACATCTGTTAGTAGATGAGGAGTTTTGTCAAGAATGGAAGAAAAACAGTCCATTTTATAAAGACGGTGATGACGTAATTGGCAGTATCAATGCAATGCGGGCACGTACAACAGAAGAAGATGTTCTCCAAGCTCTTATACTTACAACGGAATCACTTAACCTTCATATTGATTCTGGAACAACCAATGTAGCAGACAAGTTAAAAAAATACAAACAAACACTTCAAGTTTGTATGGATGAATTGAAATGTGATAAAGAATATGAAATAAGACATTTTTTTGGCAGAGTGAAGGATATTGAGTCAGTAATGAAAGTATTTTCCAAAGATCTGAGAGACTGTAGTAACACCAATTATATAGGTAAGACAAGTAAAACGATTATTCACCAAACTTAAAGACACACAGATTCTGTCTCTTATGCATTGTCTTATAATACTACTGCAACACACACATCTTGTACAATGGTTTAGTCGAGCACTTTACAAAACCAGAATCGTAATTGATATTACGTGTAGTGTTGTTGGTAAAACAAAGTTAGCCTCAAAAACAATTTGTGCAATGTTTTAAAGTTTTAATGATTTTGCCTCATTGAGCGCTTCTAATTGACCACAATTATGAATTGTTATTTTCATTTTGTAGCACTTGGTCTATACTGCCTCTGGTTGACTGTTAGTCCAGAGACTACCATCAGCTATGTAGGAAGTGCTTTGGTACTGAGTTGATTTCTAACATACCTTTCTTAGATTCTCCGTTGATGAATTGAGAAATCATAAAAAAAATATGTTCCAACTCCCTCCGGAAAGGTTAACACACATTTGAAAACTCTGATTTTTATTTATTTTCGTTTTGATTAAGTACAAGGGTTGATGGGGTAAAGAAATATAGGCATTCCTTGGATCCCGTCTGGCATTAAAACCCAAGCAAAAGTGGGGCATCCGATTGGTTGTGCGGGGTGTATAAATACGCAGCCACGTCCGGTCGGAATGGGGACGTTACATCCGATGCATCATGTTGAGATAGGTTTACGCTCTATTTGAAAAGACTTGCACCAACTCTTTGAGAGGTTTGTATTTGGCCTGTTGCAAATTAAATTTCTGTACCCTATCTTTAAGACCCTCATTTTCGAATGGCAGTCGAAATTCTAGCCTTTCATTCCGGTCGAACCACTTTAAAGAATCTAAATTTTGCAAAAATTGTTTAAAATGTGTTCCGCCATGGAGAAGCATGCAATATTTGTTAATGTACTTTAAGAAACAATAGTCAATCAATCGTTATTACTAGTTTCTGGCAACCTTGTAATCAGTAGCGCCCTAATGGAGAATATGTCAAAAAAGAGCTACAATGTGTGTCATTAGATTTCCAACTTTTGGCTTAGAATATGTTTAGAAAGCTGTTTCTTCGCTCATATTTAATTACAGGTGTTTGTTTGTGTGGAATGGGAGGTAATGGCAAAACAACACTAGCTGAACACATTGGGCGTAAACTTCAGAAACGAAAATGGTCATTTAAAAAGATTGACTTCAGGTACATATACTATCATCGAACATTTCCATACTACCTTACTAATGAATTTTGTAATAAAATATATTCCCTAACATACATTTAAAATTTTACCCAAAAATATCAAGAAAAATATATGATGACACTCACAACTGAGATGTATCCTAAATCGTCGGTAAATTTAACCATAGTTTATTGGGTTATGTATACTTCAGGTAAAAGTAATAATTACATTATCAATCTTTTTAATACGATAGTATATTTTTCTTCAATCAAGATGCTATTTTTTAATATATTTCATTGGGATAATCATATATAAATTATCAAGAATGTAAGTCATCGTTTTGTCAGTTTCATTTTGGTTATTTAACCAAAAATCAAAACGTGTACTGTTGAATTGCCTTTATGGATTGGAATCTATCTACAAAATGTACATAAACAATACCTTCAATACCCTGAAAGAGTAGAATATTCGTATCATATGACAGTAAGGGTTGTACTTTTGGGGTTTGTTTATTTATCATGTTACTGTTTAAGTCAGTTTCGAATGGTTGGCAACTTTCCTTTTATGAAGTTTTAAGTAGATTGTGTTTTCTCGTTTCAGGGAACTTACTTCATTGTTGCAGTTCATAAGACAAATCCTAATAGAGTTTGGTCATACATGCTTTGATGAAAATGTAGACAGGATTAAATCAAAATTATTTTCAGTTCTTGAAGATCAGAGTGAAATCAAGCAAGGTACATTACGTCGTCACGTGTGTAACATATTCTGTATAATTCTGTATTTTTTTTTTTATTATAATGTAAATCAAATAAGTGATAACATTATCACATTTCGCTTTGAAAGTGGTATCTCCAAAAGAAATAAAACTCTTCAGTGTATTGTGAATGATTTTGCACATTAACTATATTTTAAAAGTTCAAACTGATCTTATCAATGTTGCAGAAGTCTCTAGTTCAATAAAAGATTTGCTGTGAAACTATATTTTTGATAAATTGATTTATTTTTAGACACATTATTACTACTGGATAATATTGATGACATTCACAGAGACTGGGATGAATTACTCAAATTTCTGGAGCAACTTATGATACTTCTGAATAATAACACAGAAAACAAGGTAATTCGTTGCGTTTTCTTGTACATAATCATTTACATCCATGATGGATAAAAAAAATAGATTAATTGTGGAAGGGATTTTTTTTTTCTTAAATAATCTTAGCAATCGTTTACTTAAATGCAAGTGTTTTCATCGGATGAAACGGAGACTATTTAATTTTTGCAACAATTTAAAAGAGGAAGGTAAAATCCTTAGTATCACTTACATCAAAATTAAGTTTAAATAATATTCTTGCACATCTTTAATTTACAAATCGATTGAAATTAGCTGACCTAAAAGAATTTACAAACAGACAGACAGATAAACACATTCAACAGATGAAAATATTTAACTGTGTACGGATGAAATTTTCAAACATTTACGATTAACGATGATAAGATACAAATGAACAGCAATTTAAATTTTTTCATGAAAGTATTTACATCTCTATTTATTCATACTCACAGATTAAACTTCTTATAACATCAAGAAAAAAACTAATGTCAGAGAAAGAAATCGGGGTATATGAAACTATAACAAATTTCTTCAAAAGTTCACCAACAGAACTGGATCGATTTGATGGGTTATGCCTAGAGAGAGAATTAGAAACACTTGGTTACGACGACTGTTCGAAACTTGTTAGCTCATTATTACCAAGAGAAATACAAGTATGTTAAAGCAGGAAATAGAAATAGTTTTAATAGAATGGGACAGGTTAAAGTTGTTTTCAAGTTGTTGCCCTTAAATAAAGATTGTGACCATTTTTTGTGTTTTTGCCTATTATTTTGAAAATTCTTATAAATAGAGAATAGACAGAGATAGATTAAATAACAAAACTGATCAGCAGGGCGTGGACTACAAATTTGTTAAAAAGGCCAAAATATTTAGTCGACTCCATATTGGAATTATTGCCATTGCATGATGATTTTTACCCCTTTTAACATTTTTCGTGGAACTATAGAAGAAAAAGAAAACTGTAAACAGTAAAACAAAATCTACAAATAGGTCTATATATCCGAAAATGTGAGTCGACTGCTTATAAGAGTTATTGCACTAAAATTACTATTTTACCCAATTTTGCAAAACTATAGAAAATGAAGAATAACTGTCATTACATTTCTTGTAGGAGTTAATGCTCTTGAAAGACTTTTTCAACCCCTTTTTGTGATCTAGATTCTCATTAGTAAAAATGTTCATTTGTAAATGCAAAGAACAGTGCTTAAATCAAATTAAAGAACAATTTTTTATGAAGTATTTTGTAATGTTTATTTATATACAATGTTTTCAGAAACAGATAACTTCTAATCACCTTCAAAAACTTATGTCATCATGTGGCTTCAATCCTCTTCTTATTCATACCATTTGTGACACACTGAGAAACAATGAGGGCAGTTTACCGGATATGCTTGGAAATATGCGATCTTGTGTGATGCCATTAACCGACCGTTTGAAGTCCAACTCGTGTATTGAACAAACCTTTCTGCAAATGAAACAAGAGCACCAAATAATTCTAGTTCAATTGCATGTTTTCAAAACTTGTCGATTCAACATGAAAGCTGTTATGACAATAACTGGTGCATTAGACACACTATCCCTTCAGATTAAAATCATGAACTTAAAAGCTCATCATCTGATAGAAATCCACACAGTAGGTTCAACTAACTCATCTGAGGAAACAAGTTTTTCATTGCATCCAATGGTTTCTAATTTTTTGAAAGAAGCTTCAAAGAAGGCTGAAATGACTTCAATTTTTAAAGAAGCTGTTCGTGAATTCATGAAATGGATGCAAGATAAAATTGAACAATACGAAAACACGCTAGAAATAGACTACAAGAAAGCTCAATACATATTCGTACAAAACGAAGCCCATTTTTTAAATTTCTGTAAATATCTGAAAAAAGACCCTTCTAATGGATCAAGAACTATCAAACAAAATAAACAGATTTCCGAAGTAGCAGATCTAATTCTAAATGATAAAAAGAAGGCCGAGTTAATCGAATATCTTCGGAAAAGATCAGAAAAGGATACAGACAAATTGAGTGCATGTTTTTGGTGGTTAGAGAACGCAGAATTGGATTTGGATATGGACAATAAGGAAGTAATTAATTCGGTAAATGATCAGGCCAAGATTTTAAAAAGTATTTCTTCTGAACATACTGCAGGGGAGCTAATATCAGTTATCGCCATTTTAATGTTTCTAAAAGGTAGAATTTATTACCGATTTGATGAGTTTGATTATGGATATAAAGCCGTTTATACAGCCATCTATATACTAACTGACGCTGAGATTGAAGGTATAAAATGGGTAGTAAAATCCTTTAAAACATTGCGCTCAAAAGTATTCAACCTATTGGGATGCCTTTTACTAAGAGAGAAACGAATCATGGAAGCATTCCACTGTTTCATCAAAGCGTTTGCATTAATGACTAAAAAGACCTGCAAGGCCAGAAGTCAGAACATGGCATTATTCATTTCCAATATTGGTGCATGCTTCTTTCAATGTGGTCGTAAAATGTTAAATGATAAACTAGAATTTGCACAGCAACAATTTTTAGAAGCGATGAAATTTTCCCAAAAAGCCATTAGACTTAGACAAACAATGGGACATGAAAAATTTAGCACATATGCATTTGAACTACAGAAACGAGGTAAAGTTTACTTGGAGTTCAAAGATTTCAACAGTGCATTGGCAGATTTTAAAACAGCACTAGGAATACACATGGACATAGAAACAATGCCTCATTCAAACATAACCCTTGCTTTACATCTAATTGGTAAAACATGCCTTCTACAAGGTCAATATCAAATAAACAATGGTCTCCAAGGTATGTTGTACATAATTTCTATAATGAAACGTATTGAAATGATAATGCACAAAGAGACCGAACAAATATTAAATCTCAAATCTTATGTGTTTTTGGGTCGAAGCCGCATAGGTATAACCTCACATCTTTGTTTTTTCGTAAATATATAAATGACATTTATAATTCATCCATTATGTCTTCGGCAGCCATGAAAATACAAAAATCAATCAGTTCACTCAGCAAATATTATGAAGAACTAAGATTTATTAAAATCGAAATTCTTAAGTCTATGAAAATATATATTAGATATCATATTTTGATTTTACCTTAATTTTATATTTTGGAAAAATATACGTTATCGTCACAAAAACACACACTTGTAAATAATTAAAATTTTTGAAATGTATATATCATATTTAGTATAACCATCCAATTACCTCATATAAGGCTGTGATATGTACCTCTGTAAATGTAGACAAAATTGAAGAAAAAAACTGGAAATATTTTAATATTAGTCTTTCTAGTAACGGTTAATCCTTCCTAGTGGCGAACTATACTAATTCCACCATAAAATATAGCTTCTTGTAACTGAGCCTTATAATCAATGATATAATATAATTTTAATTGAAACAAAACATTATTTCTTAACTCCCTGACTTTATTTTGTTTTAATAGGTGTTGGAAAAGAACATTTAGAGTTTTCCCGGGTATTGTACGATAGTATAGCAGATCTTATTTACGACTGTGGACTTACTGGATATACCGAGGAATACGAAGCGATAAAGTCTAACCATATCTGGCTTCTCAATGATCTTAATGTACCTGCTGAATCAGTCAATAAATTCAAAGGTCTATACAAGGTAACGTCAATTCAAAGTTGTATACAAGGTAACGTCAATTCAAAGGTTTATACAATGTAACGTCAATTTAAAGGTTTATACAAGGTAATGTCAATTCCAAGGTGTATACAAGGTAACGTCAATTCAAAGGTGTATACAAGGTAACGTCAATTCAAATGTTTATACAAGGTAATGTAAATGTAAATAAAACCAGGTTCAATCCACCATTTTCTACATAAGAAAATGCCTGTACCAAGTCAGGAATATGACAGTTGTTGTCCATTCGTTTGATGTGTTTGTGCTTTTGTTTTTGCCATTTGATTAGGGACTTGTTTTGAATTTTCCTCGGAGTTCAGTATTTTTGTGATTTAACTTTTTTCATATACATGGTAACGGTTATCATAATACTAGGTAAACGTATGTGTCGATAAATAACAGCCAGGGGTGCATTCAAAACTTATATTTTATTTCCGTATAAAATGCAGCATCTATGACTACGTGCGCTCTCCGTGGCGATATTAAAACAAACCATAGAAAAGCTAGCGAAAGACTTGAATCAACACGTAATTTCATTTTTGTAGCATAAAAATGTAATTAAAAGAATTGAATGGGTTTTATTTTGTAATGTTTTAAGGAGTGTAAAAGCGTTGAACGTGCGCACATTTTTAGTATGAAGCGCTTCAAACAAAATTTGCTTCGGTCAACGCTTAAACATATAATAAACCAATCAAACATTTAAAGGGTTTTTCATCTAGCAGTTTAAAAAAAATTACCAATCTGACACAAGATACTTGTAATAGCACTAGAAAATCACGTAATTACTTATGAACCAATTACACAAAACCTTTACTACATTCTTTCATAGATACAAAAATCTGGTTTTATAAGTTTGGCTGTACCTATAATATAAACGTAGTGATTCTTTGAAAACAAAATATATTTTTAAAGGTAATCAATTTAACACCAATATCTTTGAATACTGTCTTTATCGGTACTAACATTGGTTTTGTTTTATTCAAATCAAACCATAACTAAATATGTATTATTATACATTATTAAACACTTATGGTCATATACATCCTCATGCTTTTCTCAGACTTGTTTATAACGCCATTTCACTAAATCCGTTGATGATTGATATTTTAGTCTGGGGAAAATGGTTTGTTTATAGATGAAATTGGCTTTGAACTAGCTTTCAGTAAATAAACTCATCATATATATCAGGATTAAAATTTTGTGCGCCTAACCCTATCCCTAACCCTAACCAGTAACTGCGATTTCTCTTAGATCGGTACTTTGTTGGTTTTTGTTTTGGTATATTTGTTAAATTGTGTGTGGTGTTTCTTGGCGACGATGGGTATCCTTTCCAGCTGATTTTTACAGTTTGTTCTTATGCTGTGCTGTTACACCATTATCCAAGGTTAAGGGAGGGTTGAGCGCTTAAAACATGTTTAACTTCGTCACATCATTTATGTTCCTGTCCCAAGCGAGTACGTTAATCAGTTGTTGTCGTTTTATTCTCTTTGGCTTTCTCTTTTATAACAGTGTGTAATCATCGGATGTCCATGGAATATTGTATAGACAAAGAAGAAATATCATAATAATTGTTGTTGCATGATATCATTTAACACGCAATTTTCAAACATGTTCAAAGTTATTTATAACTGAGTACTTAATTTACTTTCAGGAGTGTGAGTCAGGTAAAAGGGAATCGGCATGGAAGAAAAACTCAAGACGAGAAGTGAAATTTCAAAAACGATATAAAAACGTGCTTGAACTATTGGGCGAAGATAAATTACTGCAGGTTTTAGACGATCAAACCAAAACAGCTGTTAAACAATGGGTGACTAATGCAAAGGAAAGCGAACCTTTGACTGACGAAGAATTTGATGACGTTCTTCCAATCGTATTAAATAACATCAGTGATGAAACAATAAATGACGAAAACGATGAGACGTTCTTCCAAGAGTTGATCTCCATTGCACACAAGCAATATCACAAAGACTGTATACATGGTGTCATATCGAGCTTAAAAGAGATGTATCATTCTTCAGATGATATGGAATTGGTTACTTATTGCATAAACCATTGTAAACAAGAAAAACAAACAGGTGCGGTACCAGGAATCCTTTAAAAATTATGATACACATTTGTAGATCATTTGATAAAAACGTTAATTTTTAGTAACACGTGACCTCCGTCTTTCTTGGAATGTTGTCTCCCTGTTAGAACAAATGGTGTAAAATTACCAGAAAATTTATTTAGGGCCATAGTCCGAAGAATTATTACTAGTCACAAACATGGTTACCTTGGCTAAGAACAGGCTTATTCTTATTGACTGAAACACGGAATTAATTCATACAAAATAGTATAACAGAAATGTACCTTGTAAGGTGATTACTTTTGGTCGGGTTTTTATTTTTTCTAAAACAGGTTCGAGCGTTCCAGAAGATTTCAATATATACATACGAATTTTAGAAATTGTAATTAAAGATTTGTTCAGAATATAGTATTTTTTTTAAAGCTTTCATTTGATTGATTCTTTATGGTATGAAAGTAAGTGGCTGGATACATTGATGTCATGTTTTCTATTTTTCAGAAAATACTAAAAAAGACGGAAAAGAGACGAAAAGAAAACGACGTTGTAGTTCAGATACTTCTTTCTAATATTGATAGTAACGAATTCGGACAAGAATCTGGAATTCACTGTATGATAATGAATACAGGTTGATTCAAACTTAAACAACTAGAAAACGATGTTGACTTTTATACATCTAGATACGTTTAAAATGATAAAATTATCTAAGTGAATAAATCTATGTACACAAATGTATAGAAGTGTCTTGAAAGTAGAATTTATAGTTCTTTGAAAGCAATGTTTGCCATAGTCACTTTCCCAAATCACAATACTTGTGACATACTTATGTGGCAGATGATTCATTTGGTGTACAACGACAATACTTGGTTTTTGGGACGTTTGACTGCTGTCGTGTGAAGTATAACCAAATTTTCTTTTATTTATGTATATATTTTATTGTGCTTAGCATTTGATTTAGAAAAATGAATCTTTTGTCAACTTTTAATTTAACAAATATTTACTTAGCATTTGATTGAGAAAATTGAGAAAATGAATCTTTTATCAACTCTTAATTGGACAAATATTCTTCCAGATAGAAACTAGCTGACGTTTTTTGAGAGGGATGTAGTGGTATCTTAGTGGTATATTTTTGTTACTTGGTTGTCTTTTCAATTTTGTTTTTATACAGCACTAGTCAATTTGCATTGTTTATTATTATTTATACAATTAAACGTATGATTTACTACCTTGCCTGCTTATTGAAGTTAATAGTTATTGCCATATTGAAGAATGAAATGGTGCAGTAGCATTGTAAAAAATAAAATCTAATATGTTAATTAAGACATTCAAACAAAATTAATCGTCTTAACGATGATAGACAATACAAACTGTATTCATTGTATGAAACATACCGACATTCGTTGTATATATTTGAAAGTTAGTTAGCCTCTTCAGAGGAGCTTGTGTTCCCTTAACTAGTGGATCATCGGGCAGACACAATTACTCTCCACAAATTGCTCAGTTATAAACAGCCTAAACTTTTGTCACCTTTTGTGCAATAATTTTAAGTTTTTTTGTCATAAATATTAAAAAATTTTCGACATTGCTTAGCTTAATTTTAAAGAAGTAGGAAAAAACTAACTAACTAACTAACTAATTTTATTTAGTATAAAACCAATGCAGTACAAAAGGAGCATCGCTGAAATAGATATAAACATTGACATAACAAACATGCACTGTATACCAATCAGAAGATAATCAGTGTGTTTCCGGAAGTATAATTGTTATGTACATTTGATGCAAATTTAATTTAAATTATCTTTCAACAATAAAGAACTGGAACCGTCGAATGCATGAACACAACATAGTGCCAAAAATCCTCCCCTTTTTCTGGTAAATGAATATAAGTACATCAATCAATATAACCACAATTAGTATATAATAATTATAGCTTCTTACCTTGAACGTATTGTTTACCAATTCAAAGACGTTTTTAGTTAAATACATGTATCTCTTTTTATTTTTTACATATGTGCATTGTTATAGGTATTTCTACTTCAGCTGTTACATCCAAAACTTCGTATGCAAATAAACTATTTGCACTTCAATAAGATTTTACTATCAAAGTTTCGTTTGAAGAGTCTCTCGATTTGAAGAAGCTTCCGTATAAGGTGGCGGAACATCATATGTACTCTCTGAAAACGTTGTGACAGTCTCTTTACTTGACATTTCTACATTCAATTCTTGTGCCGGATGAAAGATTTTACTAGGCTTCTTCTCTGGTAAGTTAACAATGCACCTAAATACATCATATTGCTTACGTAAAATGCCTCTTTTGAAAAGAAAATTTGCTGAATAAGATACTGTAAATATAGATACAAATGTAAGGAGCATTGAAAATGTTTTGTATGGGAAAAGTTGCGTGTTGGAGTCTTCAAGATACCATGGATATCTGATCAAAGGTTTGAAGTTTAAAAGATTATCGCCCCCTGCTAGCCGAAAGAAGAGTCCAATAATAAATCCGGCTAGAGATCCGTATGTGTTTGTACCAGTGAAATACACAACACATGTAAGTTGTGGATATAACATGACATACACAAAATCTGAGCACAAGAACCACAATTCATATATTGAACCAACAGTTATTGCTATCACTGTAGCGACGACACCAACTCCAAAAATTGCAATTCTTAACACCCATGTCAGTTCACGTTCGGAAGCCTGAAAAGATAAGTACGAAAATTAATATTAAGTAAGTGACGCTAAATGTAAATGCTACCCTGGTTAACAGCTTTAAGTAAACCTCAAATAAAAGACGTTAACAAAAGTCACTTTTAATCATTTTATATATCCATGGGGCCAAGCTGACATTAGATAGATTTTACTATTATTTCTAGGTCCTTTTTAGTTTTTCAACTGTTTCGGTTCTTATATACACCTCCTGGCTTTCAAATATTTGGCTTTGAGTGTTGATGAAGGTAAATTCGGAAAAGCACTTCGTATGAATAAAATTTATGAAGCGTTGTTTTCATGTTTTTAAAAGTATGTAAAGAATTGTGTAACTGTTATCATTTGTACAAAGTGTCATCAAACATCATTTATGATTCAATTTATCTTACCTCCTGTACATTTCTAGCAATATCATTGGTTTAAAGCAACCTCGTGGATACCCAGTATATTTAATATGGTGTTAGTGGGCTTGGTTTATTTTAATACACCTTTAGTAGTGGTGTTACGTCCCTTTAGAAAAACAACACAGCGTTGAGGAAAAATATGAAACATTTCGCCCGGACAACAGATGGAGAAATTGACGATGAACGATTGAAATAAGTGCAGATAACACATTAAAAGCTAACAAGCTGTTATTGTTAGCATTTGTTTTTGTATAGACCAATGGAAAAGTTTCCGCACAAAATATTTAAAAGCATTGATATTTATTAAACTTGCATGTTGTCTGAATATTGCTCCATAAATGTTTCTTGAAAACATCCCACTTGCAGACAAAACAGAAGAATCAGCAGACGACATAACTGCCGCGGCTACAGCTCCCAGACCAAAGAAGGACACAGCGCTCGGGCATAAATACTGTAAAACCAATGGTAATACCATTCGTTCATCGCCTTGAGGTAGTGAGAATTCTGATGTATTATATCCAGTTTCACTCCAGTCTGTTGATAAAAAAATTTATCTATAATCAAGCATTTCATTTTTTTTTACACTTGTCTTTATATTTTACTTAATTTGTACTTTATCGAGAAAGTATATTCATTTTACTATATACTGTATGTACTATCAACTACAAAAACATTTTTGTTGGCGTCTTTGGCAAATTTACTACATTTGTATTTTAAACTACAAATATTTTTTTGTTGGCGTCTTTGTTAGATTTATTTGTATTTTTGTTTGATTATTTTTGTAACTAAAACTATATCTATAACTTAGTCAGTTGTGTTGTATCTCTGTGATGTATGTTTATACAGTTTTGCCTGTTAGATCCCAATTATTGTCACATGCATTAACCTATTATACAGATATAAGAAGATGTGGTATGAGTGCCAATGAGACAACTCTCCATCCAAGTCACAATTTATAAAAGTAAACCATTATAGGTCAAAGTACGGTCTTCAACACGGAGCCTTGGCTCACACCGCACAGCAAGCTATAAAGGGCCCCAAAAATTACTACTAGTGTAAAACCATTCAAACGGGAAAACCAACGGTCTAATCTATATAAAAAACGAGAAACGAGAAACACTTATGAACCACATCAACATGTCCGTTTGGCTTGCTTACCAAATATTGTCAATATAACAGAACTATAAATAAGTATCATACAAGTTGGAGGTTAAGCTAGCTATAAGCTATGTAACCCACCATTTTCTTCGAAAAATGCCTGTTCCAAGTCAGGAACATGACAGTTGTTTTCCATTCCGATTTCGTTCCGTTGGTTGATAAAGTCCAACGTTCGATTTTGTCAATTTTCATGAACTTACCCTTTTTGAATTTACCCTGGAGTTCGGTATTTTTGTTGTACTTTTTTCAAATATCTTTCTAAAATATATTTTCAAGTACAGGAAATTTTTTTACACAATTTTAAAATTTATGTGATATGGAATTTACAGACAATAAATTCGACTTTTAAAGATTTGAAATACCATTTCGTCATGCGTTTAATCTTACTTGTTTGTGCAGCAATAGCTCCTATCAGTAATGGCGGGATAGTAAGAAACAGACAACCGAAGCCAGCAAAGTACGATAAATTCTCTGCTATCCTCGTCGTCCGTGCTGATAAAACTCTTTGAAAATATACCTTAATTATAAATATTTAAGAATAGCATTGCAATTGTAAAACATGACTTTTTGTGTTAAGCCGCCAATCATTATAACTGAGGACATTTATCACAAAAAGCTTGCAGAAGACGTTACTAAGTTGAAAAAAACTTGTGTCTGTTTCCTGTGTCATTTTGAACAATAAAGTATGTTGAAACTAAATAACAAAAAAACTCGTCGTTTTATATAAAACAAATATCATGTTTTCTATCACTTTATCTTTATCATAAGCCATATGTATGCATCTATTATGGCAAGGATATATATGTGTTCTAAAGTAAGCAACACTGTTGTGCATTGCTTTGTAAGTACATAAAGGTGACATACATTGTGTACCTACATGCTCGGTTCGTATACTGCGGTTGTTGTAACTAACATTTTAGAGAAGGGATAGAAATACATCGCAGCTGATAAACACCAATGCCGATACAACTATTCGCTTTCTCAAAAACTTGCATGACTTAAGCATCTATATTATAAATAAAACAGAAGTTTCACTTGTCATTTTCAAATGTTTAAGAAACAGTAAGATGTTATAGTCGGTATATATTTTAAATAGTACCTGCCAACCGATTCCCCCGAATATCAGAAGTAGAAACCCATCAATATACTGCCCAGAGTATGCTGGGTCTAGATCCTTTATCCAGACTGTTGTGTAATTCACTGATATATCCCTCACAGCATCGTGTGTCATGGCAAAAGGTATAGACAACCACTATAAACGAAACATTAATTTGTAGTCAAAAAATAAAATAGTCATTTGTTTTCTACCATGTGTTGTTTTATCAGCAAAACAAATTTGCACATCAATAGTGTTGTCACCATCGTTTGCAACATAAAATACAGATTAAACATATCTCTATGATAAGCATTTAATTAGGTGTATGTATGTATTAGAATAGCAACAACAACAAAAAATGTCAGCCCACTGAAGCCATTACTTAAGGTAACACGATACCGAAAGGCATATAATTCCCGATTTCTAAAATTTTTGGCACACTTGTTCTTTTATGTCCGGTGGCAAATATTTCATGCATGTTCAGGACGATACAATACAATTTGAAATAGTTGTGTCTAAAAGACACATTTTATGCAGCCATCAAAAAGGTTGAACATTCTGTTAGTTGTAAAAAGGATAGATATTAAAATCAATATCTTGATGAAATACATATTCTTAATATAGTATACTCTGTATGGTGTAAACGTGTGAGCTGTGTGCGTAGTTAATCGGACAAATCTTGCTAACTATGCAAAAATTCACTCGAAAAGACAAATTTAAACAATCTGTCATTTGTGGAAAATTATACAATAAAAAATTCTGAAAATAAATATGCACCCTCTATATAAGTAAAACACTCGGCGCAATATAAAAGTTCAAGCTTGAAATTGTACATGTAGAAGGAGTAAGCCGGACTATGTACTCTGTGTGCCGTTATATATTATCAAAATGCCAAATTAGCAACCTGTCATTTGCAAAGAAAAAAAATCTGACAATATGCGCACTTTTGGTATATATACTAACAACAGGTACATAATTTAAAGTTGAAGCTTAAAAACTATAGTCCCAAGAAATCAGCCGTATAAACCCTTAGCTACATACCAAGTGAGGAACGGGCAGTCAAACGGACACGGGTAAAACAGTATGCTCCCGGCATTTTGTCGAGGGACCAAAATATATATTAAGCGTATGTGATGATGTTCTATTTTATGAGGCATTTGGTGACAAAATATCTTTTTGAATAAGCAGTTCATAGTGAAATGTAATTGTGAGATCTCAAATGTAGCAATGCAAGCAAGCTAAAATCTACATATGGAAAGTTGTCTCCTTGGCAATTATATTACATCTCCTTATTTCATAATGGTTTGAGTTTTCTTCTGAAATACAAGAAGTTTAAAGACTTTAACAAATATGTACCAGGAGACTGACATATGTACTATTATAATTGATATCTGAATATTGTTGTGAACATGTCATGTTATAATTTGATAAATTTTATACTTGCTATAATAAATATACTTATTAACTTTCAAATTCAAGGGACCAAAGAATCTTTACTAAATCTACAAATTAGCAGTAAAAAAAATACTCGTCCATTCTGTATTTGTCATATGTTATCTAGATATCTTTGGTTTTGTGTGTTGTTAATTGGCCAGTTGCTGTCTTATTGAATCTTCCACATCTCTATTTATGCACAAAAAGAAATACCAACACTTTATTTAACATACATACTTGTATATGTACTTGCTATAAAATCTTCTTAAATATTGCTAATACCCTCGGACTTTTTCCGACGCTCATGTCAGCAATGTGCCCCTCCCCAAAAAGACACCTTTGTTAATCGTTTGTGAGTCGTTTTGTCTCATCACTTTATGAAATGGTGCATTTTTCATCATCTGTACTTGTACATCATGTCCAAACTCAAACAACAAAACACACCCATCCCTGTACACCCAAGCGTAAATTAACATCAAAAATGATTTTAAAATCTCGTTGATTTTTTCAGTTTGTTTCTGTCGTTTAAATAATATATGGGTTAACGAAAACATCTCTTTATACTTTGTTTGCGTTCGAAGAGCTTTTCTGGGTTTACCTTCATCAAAGCACCGATAAGTCATTTATTGTGGGCCCACTGTTTTTTTTTAATGAATCGTGTGATTGTAAATATTGAGAAATAATTTGTTTCGAACTGGAATTGAAAATAAATATGTAACGGGAACTGAATGATTTAATTTTATTTCGTTCCACATGATGCAAATTAAGTGTTGACATCCCATATTTTCAAGCCTTTGTTAACTTTTTCCTCATTCCGATGATGCTGTCCTGTGTAAACTGCGCTTATACGATTACAGTGCTGGCAATTTATTTTTTACAAGCTTCCGAAACCATATCTGATTTCTTCTGTACAGTCCAATAATTTTCAGAAACTGGTTACTCTTGAAACATAGGGAAAGTTGTGGGGCCAAATAACCAAGTTCAATTATTCTTCTTTGTTTATTCCATTCCAACAAACCATTTTCTGTCTGAGTTTCCACGTCTGCTTGTACGGTGCATTTTTCGCTAAATTCTATCCGTATTCTTTTACAAATAAATTTCTTTTTTTTTCTATTTTGCTAGCAGCGTCTTTTGGCAACCATTTTAAAACGAATGGGTTTCTTAACGAAATTGCACTAATAGTGGCACAATTCCCCGTATTTTCACACATTATCTTGAGTTTCTATAATTTGGATTTCTACTTTAAAAATATTTTTTTTATCGAGAAACGGCGTGCATCATAAATAAGAACTTATTACAAAAATACTCAATCCAGAATAAAAAAAACTCAGTCTATTATGCATAAGAACATATATAGATAAATATTAATAGTTACAGAACATCTAAAAAAAAGTATATAATTAAGTGTAAAGAATGAGAAGAAAAACGGGATAAAGACGATCGAAGCAATCAATGTCAAATAAAGTATTGCATCAAATCTCTCGGCATTCTGCATCTATGCAAAGTTACAATGAAAAGGTTTACCATAAATACCAAGGTTAATTTATTATTTTATTTTCGGGATAAAAGAACAGCACAGGGCCTACATGTATTGTGTTGTTAACAGCCCGGAACACGACGGAACCTGCTGCATTGACTGGTATATATGAACGACGCTAAAATGAAGGTATTTCTAATATATAATCATATACATTTGCAAATTTGAAATAAAGAAACATTTATCTTTCAACTATTTTATACCAGACTGAGGCAAATTGTTTGTTTAATTCGTTCTAAGTTATTCTAAAACATCGGGTTTTACGTTTGCCGTCAATTTCATGGATGTCGACATCAGCAGGAACGATAACTCGAGGCGGCATACGATACAGTTACAGGGGAAGTAATGACGTTGCTAACGTAAATTGTTATTTTCGCGACGTCAAACTGTGACTTATCGGGAAAAGATGCAGTTTTCGACCGATTTTTATCATTCAAACTGATTTAACTTGAAAACGAGTTCATGGACCCCTCTTCTTTAAAATGACATTTGGTTTGATTACGTTTGAAGAGTTATGTGTACCAATTTTCATGAAAAAGTCAATAGTGCAATTATTTTAAATTTGATAAATATACTGCAAAAAATGACGTTTTTTTTCTACATTCATGAACATTTGATAAATATGAGTTATTTTTAAAAATAAAATGTACAAATTTATAGAACATTTATATAAAACAGAAATTACAAATAATCTAACAAAAAACAGCTTGTGTCTATCTTAAAAGATAGACACAAGATGTTTTTTGTTAGATTATTTATGTATTTCTGTCGAAAGGAAAAATACGTCCACAAATCCGAATTTTGAGGAAATATCTGAAATTTCAACCTCAATTTACTCAAAAAGTAGCACATGATGGTATATTTTTTATTGCATATTTGACTTAATCAGGTAAAAAATAGCCTATATGCAAATTTTCATCAAAATTTCATTACGGGATCAAAACTGTATCGTATGCCCTTAACGTGAATCGGTAAAAAATGGAAAATTAGACTTCAACATCCATTTGAAATGCATTTTGCATCTGAAAGATATGTAATTTTCTTTGTCAAACTGGTAAACAGAATGTATTAATCTGATTTAATGAACCCCTTAATTCAATCTGAAATTAGCTGAGTTTTTCACTCGAGTCATTTGGGTGTAAAAACATAATGACAAATACTTACAAGACCAAAGAATATGCATAAGAGCTGCACAACATCTGTATAAGCTACAGAATATAGTCCACCAAACAATGTGTAAAATACAGCAATACATGCGGATATTATGACTGCTATGTCGTAGTTCAGGGATATAATAACTGACAATGTTGATCCTATAGAGAAATGAATTATATGGTATTTAATTGTATATCTATTCGTAAATATAATCATATTAAGTACAATAATGCAAGACATTAAGTAAATCTAAAGAAAGTAAATAAAATAGTAAAATGTTAGTAAATTAAAAGGAAGTAAAAAAAATATTAAAATGTTAGTCAATTAACAGAAAGAAAATGAAATATGAAAATAATGTTAGAAAATTAAAAGGAAGTAAATAAAATATAGAAATAATGTTGTAACTTAACAAAGTAGACGAGAAAATATACCTAGAGCACCCAGAATGGCAGCTGACCAAAAGAGTTCTCCCATTAGTGAAGGGAGATACAGTAGTCCTCCCATCCTGTCGCCATATTTTTGTTGTATGGGATCCAACATTGTAACATATCCCTGTGATCTCATACGTTTGGCAAAGAAATATCCACCTATAGATAATGAAAATAGTATACACTTACTAGTATTCATTCATTTGAATCAGTAATAATAAGAAACATTGAAGCATTTTCTATTTTTTGTTGTTGTTTTTTTTAAATTTATACTTTTATTGCACTGTCATAATATATATCTTGATTAATATATGTATATACATGATTGGATTGTCACATTCAATTTGACGAAATGATGAAAAGGGCGTGATAGCAACCATAAAACATACCACCCTTTCATCAAAAATAGTCTTCTGATAGAAGATAGAACCAGTTAAAAGAACTTAATCGGGTGTTAATTATGTTACATAAGCGGAGCCAGGGAGGTGTTCCAATGGTTGGAAACACCCCCCCCCCCCCCATTATTCGATTTTTTTTAATTATGTGAACGTTTCATGGTGTTTCGAGGGTTGGAAACACCCCCCCCCCCCCCCCCTTTTTTTCTAAATGGTTGTATCCGAGCCTGAAACACAAAAAATAGATGACGATGTATATTCGTTCTATTTATAAAATGAATCTACTATTATGAAATTGCTGCCATCCCATTTATTGTAACCTGAATTGTTTATACTATTACCATTACAGCTATTTATGACAGGTGTTGAAATGACTTGAGTCGGAAATATTAAGATGGACCTCCAATCGTTTCTCTCAGACCTAAATCAGACGGAAGAAAATATGACAGTAATAATTGAGTGCTTGCTTGCTTGGTTAATTGTTTGATTGGTTGTTGGTTGCGTAGCGTCTAGTGGCAAATTTGTCATATTATTCAGAACGAGAATAAATCAGAAGATATGATGGATTTGGGGAAAAAGTTGTGCCTTGCAACAGGTCAACTACAGACCTCTCTAAGAGTTTTTACAGTGGTTCTTTGACGTGCAGCGAGCGCGACACTCTCTCTCCACGAGGCATTTGATTTAACGTCCCCATTCCAACCGGACTTTGCTGCATGTAAACAACCACAACACAATTGACGCCCCACTTTATTAAGGTTCTAATGCCGAATATATGGGAGAAGTCCAAGTCTTGACCACATTTATATAGTGAAGGCAACGGCCTTTGAGTTGTATCAATAATGAACATTGCTGTCATGTTGTTTACGTCGGTTCTATAGACAACCTCTCTCCAGTTGTCTCATGCAAAATAACTGCAACTAATTGCTCTGCAAAAATTGATAGCTAAAGATTGAGGAATAACTAGATAAGCAATCATCGTCCTTCGGTCTTTGGTGGGTAATTGTCGTCTCATTGACAATATTTTTAGCAATAGAAGCTTTTTACTCTAAAAAAACACAAAATACGAGACATCCCAGAGACAAAATGGACTGTAGGTTAGGGGGGGGGTCCCGCTAACATGTTTAACCCCGCCACATTCTGTATGTATGAGCCTGTACCATTGATGAGTCATATATTTGTTTTTCGTTCATTTTTTTGTACATAAATTAGGCCGTTAGTTATCTCGTTTGAATTGTTTTACATTTGTCATTTCGGGGCCTTTTATAGCTGACTATGCGGTATGGGCTTTGCTCATTGTTGAAGGCCGTACGGTGACCTGTAGTTGTTAATTTCTGTGTCATTTGGTCTCTTGTGAAGAGTTGTCTCATTGGCAATCATACCACATCTTCTTTTTGTTATATGTATGCAATTAAAGGCGTCCAAGAAAAGCTTTCCACGAAAATGCTTCGATGTAACTTTTAGCAATCCTTCATCAAGAAAATCCTAAACTGGATTATCGTATAACCTGGAATATTCGATATGCCGATTCTAAAGGGTTAATTCACGCTTCATAAAAATGGAAAGTTTACAATTTGAAAATTGAAGTATAACGTACACCTCTCTTTTATGAATGATCCAATTCGTTCACATTTACCAATTGACATCAATCTGATGTGGTTTCGATAAACATGTACCTCTGGGGTATGAAACCACACAAATTCTCACGGTGTTATTTAAAACCTTAAATTTGATAAGTTGGTGTTTTAACTTGATAGTGTATTTACCGCCGAATGATCTGTAAATAGTATAATGCGTGTATTTTGGGTTATAATTCGATATAGTCTACTGAAACAGTAGCATGTAGAAGCTCTTATTTTTTTATGTACTTACCAAACCAAAGACTGGCGGCATAGCCAAATGGAGCCTGACACCACACAAAACCCCAGGAATATATAGCTTCTGATGTTCCATTTATAAAACCACCTCCTACCCATGTTGCTGAAAAAACAGAAATGCTAACTTTTATTCAATGTTATGCTAGATTTGTACGCTTATTCTGTAAAATTCTCATGAAAATAATTTTACAATCTAATTTTTCTGTAATTAGATGATTTCTTTATTCTGTACATCGTTCATATCTGTAATAAGTAAAATATTACATAATTCTTTTATTTTCCACAATTATTCTATATACTTTACATTTATTTCTCATTTTTCTCTTATTCATTTCAATGATTTTATTTTGCCATATTTCTCTATTCTGTATACCCCATCCACACCCTCATGTAGACTCTTTTATATTTCAAATTTGTTTAGGTATACATGTATATAATTATCAGTAAATTTGAGGTGGGTGTGAATATATTTGATGTGGGTGTTCACAGAGATCAATATCTTAGAAATAAGCAGTGGTATAGGGAAAAGTAGTTTTCTTAATTAGTTGTTCACTGTGAGTACCCCTATTATATGCTAGAATGAAAAAAAGAGAACATGACTAAAATGAATGCGACTTTCACATCAGTGATCATTTGTATGATTAGAGTACCAAGAGAAAATGTTAAATCTGTATTATCTGCTTTATAGCTTATATAGGAATATAACTTTTTTTCAATTTGTCCATAAAGTAGTAATGGTATACAGTTGTATTTGCTTCTCAGCTTAGATCATACGTGTGTATTGTAATCTTAAACCAATGGATTATAAATAAAGGTCCGATCCATGGAGTTGGTATGATAGACACGCTGGAACTTCGAGATTTTGTACACATTATGCCCACTTCCACATTGGATCAAATCATATCAACATCATCAAATCAAAAGCTTTATTTAGAGCTGGTAAATATGCAAAACAGTACAACATAAGCTCATCAGAGCTTTTAAACCTACGTATGTATAGGAAAAGCAAGATTCGACCGAAATTGTTGAATTTACTGCAAATGATGCATGTATTCATATATATTTAAGGTTACGTTTTAGAAATTTAATCCAATTTTTCCCATTATCATAACTCTTCGACACAATATATCAATCTATATTAATGATAAAGGAGAATCTAAGTTTTCTTGTAGAGAATGTTTCCCTCGAAACGAACGAGCGAGCGGCAATGTCGATGTCTGCAAAAGTGTAGACAACTTGTACATATAGGGATTTCGCGTTGTAAAATATTCTTCGGACGACAGATCTTTGACATATATAATGTCATTTGTAAATACATGACCATAGCTTTGCTTCCAAAAGAATTGCATATCTGTTTAGGCCGTATCCTTGATACTCACGTTATTAGGAGACCTCCGTTGCAGTTGGTTATTATAAAAATTAACAGATTAAGCAGACAAAAACACCGATCTATTTATCTATATGTGCAAGATAGTACAAGATTTGTACAGAAATCACAAGATAAGACAGACCTAAACATGAAATATGAGTGGTTTTTTTTCAACATATATTCACGAATTTAAATCAGTGGCATGTATGTGGTCAGGCGTAGTAAGGTGATACTTTAATCACATTCAGGATTTTAATTGTTTTTCTTCAGAAAACAGTAAAAAGCTAAACAAATCAATAACATGTGTCATATTTGCCTCTTTATGCGGATGTGTAGGGTCTGTTTATCCACAACTGATTTCTGGGTTCTTCTATATGCCTCTAATGAAAATCTTACACTTTTTGACAGTTGTTGGGCCCTGTTGCATGTGCATGTGCCCTTTTCCTTATCACGAGCATTATATTAATTTCTGTTAGCATGGTCTTAATCAAATCGTAAACTAACCAAATACTAGTAATGAATTGCATAACTATAAAGTCGACAGGTTGCAAGTATTTGACACTTGGTCTTGAAAGTTGTTGACTTCAGAGTATTAAAGTCCATTTACGTTTTATAATTTAACTTTGGAAATTCAATTAAAATTGGCTGTAAATGGACCCCTCCCCATTTAAAATTATGATTCAATATGCTTACAAGCAATTGAAAAGACAACATATTAGTTCAAGATGAGCCACTCCATTACCTTTGTAGCCTATTTGCTATTTAACAATTTCAAAGTACACAACATCGTGAACTCTAATGAATGATAATATGTAGTGTGTTCCGTTTCAGTTAACTTTAAGGCTCTATTTGTTATGATACATGTATTCGATATAGGAATAGCTGCAGCCGAAAACTCCAGCGTAGGTCGTGCAATTGCAGACCATGGTCTATTTAAGAGTCACGACAAAATGTGGGTGATTAGAATAAATAATTTTACCTGTCAGTACTTTAACTCTAATTTAATAATAACAGACACATATACTTTATATTGAAACGTTGTATAATGCATCAATATATAAAACTTGTCACACTTACTACCTTATGAGATTTTTAATATTCAAGAACATACACTAACTATAAATACTTGCCAGTCATTGTAAACACGCCCACAAAAACACCTATATCTCTCCCAGCTAACATCAAATCCTCATTATAAGAATTTCGTTTTCTCCTTGCAGCCCATAATCCTATGCCGAGAATCAGAATATAGAACAAAATCACTGCAATCAGACCTGGAACATTGACAGCCATGTTGATGTGCGAGAAATTATTTTATGACATTCATTTAACTCATCCTATTTGACCATAAGCTTGGTTGATAGACCACGAAGAAAGTTTAATTATGTTATTTGTGATAAGTTTAACACACCTTCAAGGATTAACCTCACCTGCGGTATATTGCCGTTTTTATGCACAATATTACTTAAAAGGACCAGAAAAGGCAATAAATGTATTTAAGATTTTATGTTTTACATTTATTTGTATATCAATTAAATGTTATGTAACTCAAGTAAACTACAACATCGAAGGCCCGTTAGAGTTCTACAAATCTCCAAAATATCATAAGATACAATAAAATGAAATGAGATATTTATTAGTGTAAAATCCAAACAATCATGCAGCTTGCTACTAATTAAATATCACAAATTCACAATAAACAATACAAATATGTAACATTTCATATGATTGTTGAAATTGTTTCTATGTTTTTTCTAATTGTTACTCGAAATCTGATCATTTTTGCTACAATTTGTTTTCAAATAATAAAAAAAGTTGTCCATCAGCTAGGTCTCTATAGTAAATGTGAAACTCAACATCCAATAAATTTAGAGGGAGGATCACGGCAGTCGGCCTATATATAGTCCCTTACAGTAACGGTCACCGAATTGGAAGTAAAGTGACCTGCGATATACATCTTAAAACACTGTACAATTGGTTTCACCTTGCACTGTCTATAAATCAACTTAGTCAGCTAAATATTTGTACATTTAGGTTGCTGTTTAGTTTGAATGAGAGGACACTGTGAAACAAAGAAAAGAACGAAAGTAATACATTTAAGTTTGAAACCAAATATAAACCAATAATAGTTTCCGACTTAATATGCGACAAATAAAAGGTGAACGCATGCACAAAGACAGAGAGATATAGACATTTACCAGCCGTGTTTTCTTTATACTGAGTGGAAGCACTTTAAATATGTAGGCTTATTAACAGACATCAATAAAAAAAAAAAGAAAAGTGATGAATTAAGAATTAAGAGCAGGTGCTCTACAGGCTATAGCTTCTTATAAGGATAATTTTAAATCCGCTTGGTGTGTATACTGATTGATACTTTAGTCTTACAGAAGAACATGATTTATTTATAAGTTGCTATTGTCTTTGAACTAGCTTCCGGTACTCTTATATCATGGCGCTGCTTTGTGTCTTGTTTTTGTGCTTACTACCGATATATTGAGTTAAGCCATTTACAACTGATCCGATTTTACAGTTTGTTCTTATGTTGTGCTGTTATACGCCACTGTCTATTAGGGGAGGGTTGAGCACTCACAAAATATTTGAACCCCGTAACCTTCTTAAAGTCAGGAGCCTGTAATTCAGTGGTTGTCATTGATTCAGAGCATTTCTGTCATATATTTTTTCGTAAATTGTTTTGTTATCAATTAGACCGTTAGTTTTCTCGTTTGAATTATTTCACATTTTGCCAAAATGGTGCCTTTTATAGCTGACTATATGGTATGGGTTTTGCTTATTGTTTAAGGCTGACGTGACGGTGACCAATAATTACTTACATCTACGTCTAGTGTCTCAATCTCCTTATTTTGATATAACCTGAATGTCCTATACGATCTTTGGACTGTGCCAGGCATTCAAAGGACCAGACTGCACGATTATATTACATGACTCTGGTACATGTTTTGTCAAAGCCTGACTTTAAATGATGTTTGAAATCAAGGAAATGTATATTAATATACAATTCCTTGTTGATACGTATACAATCATATTTCGTTTTTATATTCTTATAAAATTTTTGTTACACCGATACTTCTTTTAGAATTAAAAGTAAGTTATTGGTATAGCTTAATCCCATTAATTTTAGAAGTTAACTTTCTACTTTTAATTATATAATAAACTATGTATCATCGGGTATTTACAAGGATTTTAATTCAAAATCTTTGTAAAGACCCAATGGTGCATAACTTTGTGACTAATGGACTGGTCATTTTCCGTTTCATTGGGGGGACTTGGAAGAAAATATAGGAACTTCTTATTTTTTTCAAGATCCCACCTTGTCAAAAGAAAAAAATCAAGACCCCTTCCTTGCAAAGACCTAACCATTTCATCCCTTTTAAAACTTGAAAACGTTTCCTAATACCAGTATTGCAAAAATGCTTACAATATAAAAATAGGAAGATGTGGTATAATTGCCAATGATGTCTATTATAGAATTACTAATATTAAAAAAAATTGTGCACCACTGAGTAAGGTAGTCGTAGCATCAAGCGGGGTAGTTGTTTTTTTACCTTGAAAACCATAATCAAGTTGTACCTGTTATGGTCTCAATTGCATTTACCAGAGACATGTATAGTACCCTTCATTTACCACTGTGAAGTATCAAATTACACTGAGTTGGTTGTTTACTAAGAAACAGGTACCGATTTTCGTCGAAATCAGAGTAACGGAAATAAATCAGCTTACGCATGGACACATCATCTTCATTCAATTTTAGCACATTTATGTTCCTTTTCCTATCCTTTATTAAATAAGTTAGAAAATTAGCATCACATAATAATAATTTCCGGGAGAATATGCTGAAACTGATTTGGATACGTGGAATTTTAACCTTAACATTGTTTTGCTTGCCAAACACTTGAATATATTTTTATGATTGTATGGAGGATGCGTCGGGTGTGCCCCTTCCTGAGTTCGCCTTCGCATGACACAAAGAAAAATAATTCATGTTTATAAAGTCACGTTATAAATACCACGTTTAACTCCTATATTTTATCTTCAACCATTGAAATATATGCTCGATCGTGAGTTTTTCGATGAGTCATGAAAGGAAACAAAGTTATTTTTTAGAGGTTTAGCTAGCTTTAAAACCAGGTTCAATCCACCATTTTCTACATAAGAAAATGCCTGTACCAAGTCAGGAATATGACATTTGTTATCCGGCATTCGTTTGATGTGTTTGAACTTTTGATTTTGCCATTTGATTGGGGACTTTCCTTTTTGAATTTTACTCAGAGTTCAGTATTTTTGTCACGGATTTTACTTTTTATTAGTATTATCAGTGTTTTATTGGAAATGAATAAGTACGCGTACGCCCCCTTTTTAATAGCTAAAAATTAAAAAAATGTCATGTTTCTCACGATTCATGTTATTTTTAGCATAAAATAAGCCTACAAATTGTTCTTACATTTTCTGTAAAAATACGCCCTCCCCGGCCCGTCCCTTTTTTAAAAATGGCCTGGATCCGGCGCCTCTGGAAGTTGCTTAAATTTTGTAAACAAAAAAATGATGCCCTCTTATCTGAGGTGTTGGAAAATTAAAAAACCCCATTTTAATTCCCCCAAAATAAATTCTCTCATTGTCCTCCATTTGGTTACCAAAAACGGTCCCCTAGTGTGTTCTTCTCCTTCCAAGTAAGGAACCGAATTCAATCATGAATGTATAAGTGTCGGGCATCACGGCTAGTCTTCTAAAAGTTATTTACAATTAAAACTGTCTCCATTTTTAAAAACTTTGCACAATTAAGTTTTTAATGTGAATTTCTTTCATATTCCGTTCTAACTGATAACTTGTTCGTGCAGCCGGAACATTTCTATATCTGTTTCCGGTTTTCGGTTTTCTCTGTTAGATTTTTAAAACTGGTGCCCTGTTATCCCTGTAGTTTTGTGTACCTTGACTAGTCAAGAAAGTATCAGTACATACGCGTCTGAACGGGAACATTCTAGAGAAAAGAAAACATTATCTCACACATTTTTAGACCAGAAAGGGTTTAGTATTACTGCAAGAAGGTAAATGACATCTGAGTGCATTCCAAAATGTGCGCGAATCATTACCTTAGTGTCCAAATAATAACCAAACGATATCGTTATTTCTTTCACATGGTAACCATGTGGTTTACACCCCCCTTTTATGTCATAGGTAGTTACTACTGTAGATATTTTCTGGCGGTGATTGACTTTAACATGTTCAGATAACAAATAGAACCATTATATATATATATATATATATTTAAAGTATGCAATACCATAACTTTCAAGGACTAAATTAGTCATTTTAAAATGTATTTATAAACATACTAATCATGCTAATTAAACCTGAATGCAAAAGAAAAAAATTCCCTCCATTGTAATGTGTTTATGTCCATAGACATTGTATTGTAGAAAATTAATAGTAAAGACTACCTTGAAAATTGTAATAGACCTGTATTGACCACTTGATGAGTAATAACTGGGGCAGCAGTTTTTCTGGCCAACATTATATTATGTTCAAAACATATATATTCACTTTGAATTTAATTTAATGTCAGAAAATGTGTCAAGCTACAAAAAATGTAATACAGACTAGAACATTCAGTTCACTTGACTATTGAGACGACTTTTACTTACTTACACTAAACAATATATGCTAAAATTAATTAAAACGAATTTAAAATTGTTTTCAATAAGATTCATTCTTTTATTTGTTTTGAATATATATATATTCACATTGTATCATGTTCATGCATACATTTTTTCTATGTTATACATGTATATGTCACTGTACATGAATGTACTTCATTATGAAATGAAAACCTTTTATTGCAGATGTCGTCATTAGCATTAAACCCTATACAGATTTTCAGCCAAGGAGCTGAAGAAGAGAAGGCAGAAACTGCTAGATTGGTAAGTTCATACTAATGAGTAAGTTCCATAAAAGGCATAACTTGTAGACAATGTTAACTCCTGGAAGTAAATAACTTGCAATTTTCTAAATGTATCTTGTAATGTTCCTATTGATACTCATATTTCTTGATGCCATGTCCTTTTATATTGACACCTTGCATGCCTTGCTCATTGAATTAGAATTTTCAGTATGAACAATACTGTATTTCATTTTCTTTTAATTTGTCAAGATATAACATTAGCATTTACTATATAATATATAAACTGTGACATGTTCACGGATTTGACCCAAATTCTCAATTGATATACTAACACATAGATCCAAATTACAAAAGTCCGAAAGACATAATTGACAATGCATGGACTGGTTATAACATATCAGAATTTTGTGCATATTTTAAGACTAGATTCAAATTATCCATGAGGCAGAGATGCAGATAATTTTGTTTTCCTATCAGACATTGGGTCCTGCATGTAAGACTGGTTTGCCAGTCCTATCAACAGTTTGCCAGACCTACTTTTTTGAAAAATAATAACTAGTTCCCAGTTAGATTAAGATACGCCTTAAAAACCTTGACTAGAACGACCAGGTTAAATAAGAATATGACCATGGGGTGGTTTAATGTGTTAGACCACATTTAATTTAAATTATCCTGCAACATCAAATAAATAAATGAAAATGTTTTACTACACTTGCCATTAATACAACTATTCATTAACTTTATGGATAGTTGTCTTATTAATTGGCATAAGAACAATTAGATAAAAAACAAAGACAATGGCAAGCTACATTTTTACGTCAAAACGAATATATGTGTTCATACATTAACTAAAATGAAGAAAAAAAAACACTCTTATAAAACTAAAATAATACTTGTTTTTGTTTAATTTAATTTACTTAAATGTGGTCATTATGACATTAGTTGTCCCTTAATAGAACTTTTGGTTTTCAGTGCTTTTCAACTAATAATTGATTTGGCCATCTATTGTTCCAACTGTTCATGCACCACTGATTTGTCTTATGGAGACGAAACTCGTTTTTGTCTCGCCTTGACGGAGTAAAAAAGCGAGACATAGGTGTGCTGTTTCCAGCGACAGCGTCAACAATGTATTAGTTTGTGATTAGGTCTAGTTCATGGTGAACCACTAGTGGTAGGTCAATGATATTTGGTATGCAGTTGTATTAGCATTGGCACATCTCATTACCATGGAGATTATTTGGCCCCGCCCCCTCAGTCAAGGTCTATTGACATTGAAACTTTTCATAGTTTACATGTATTAGTTTGTGATTAGGTCAATTTATGTGGAACCACTAGTGGTAGGTCAATGATATTTGGTATGCAGTTGTATAAGCATTGGCATATCTCATTTCCATGGAGATTATTTGGCTCCGCCCCCTTAGTCATGGTCTATAGACTTTGAAAATTTTGCTAAGTTAACATGTATTAGTTTGTGATTAGGTCAGTCCAAGGGGAACCATTAGTGGTAGGCCAATGTTAATTTGTGTTCAGTTGTATAAGCATTAGCACATCTCATTTCCATGGAGAATATTTGGCCCCACCCCCTCAGTCATGGTCTATTTACTTTGAAACTTTTGCTTTGTTTACATGTATTAGTTTGTGATTAGATCAGTTTAAGATGAACTGCTAATGTTAAGTCAATGATATTTGGTATGCAAATTTATTGGCATTTGCAAGTATCATTTCCATGGAGATTATATAGCCCCACCCCTGATCATGGTTCATTGACTTTGAAACTTTTACATAGTTTACAAGTTAGTGTTTGTGTTTAGGTTTGTTTAAAGGGAACGACTTATAATAAGTCAATGGTATTTGGTGTGCAGTTGTAATAGCATTGGCACATCTCATTCCATGGAGATTGTTTAGCCATGTACCTTCAGTCATGGTTCATGGACTTTGAATATTTGCATAACTTACATGTTAAAGTATTGCTATTTTAATTTCAATATTTGCATTATCAAAATAACAAAAAGGCAAGACATATCTCTGTGATAACAGTTTATTTTCGTACTAACAATGTTCTCGTTAAAGCGACGCATCCTTGCATGAACCGTGCGTATGAGGGACGCATCTGATAACACTTGCTGAGTCTTGTAATCATCAGAATTATCCCTCAGCTATCAAAAGAAGCTGAAAACAAGCTTCTACATTTTTGTACTCAATATTTTTACCGGAAATTTACTTTCGCTCTCATTGCTATGTATAATAATAAATCCCGAGAACTACGAAAATAATTATAATCACATGACTTACGCTAATTCAGGGCTCGACAATAAAGCTTGTCGGATTGTCCGGTACCAGAGGAAAAAAAGGTCGGACAAGTAAAAGCTAGATCAAGGTTGTCCGAAGGGCCAAGTTAAATCATTTTGTAGAAAATAAATTAAATCCAACTTTGATGAACAAAGTAATAAACAAAAAACAAGAAAAGATAAAAAAAAATATTAATTTGACATGTTTACTTGCAATCAATAATTTTAAACTGGTTCTTTGACAGATACTTTATAACAGATAAAACACATAATATTCTGGGAAACCAGCCTTAGATGAAATCAAGAATGGCTTTGTAGGTAACAAGACAGTTCGGCACTGGCACGGAAACCAATCCTTCCATGTTTAATAGACAGTATGGCACCATAGGAGACATTTCGGGACCAAGCCAACCAGTACCTCATTTCCCTACCTTATTCTGCTGCTTATAATAAATATGATAAATTTTATTTAACAAAAATATTTTTTAAAATAAAAAATGAAGAAATTATTGACCATAAAATTCACAGAATCATATTTGATTATATGTAGACAAAACAAAATATATTAAAAACTAAGCTGTTTGTAGTAAGGCATTAATCATAATAATCAATATTTTACCAACATGAAAGACCAGGATACAAACCAAATGAGTGTAGACTGACAGGCCTACCAGACTGTGCCTCATGTGCAGAGTCTGATGAGACTTTGGCATTGATGAAAACTAGAACCTAAGTCCTGTGACATGACTTGATTCAGTTGTTCTCGACTCATATTTTTGAAAAGGATATCAAGAGATATAAATCAAATTCTGTTCATATGTTCATTGAATCAACTTAAAATGCAAAAAAGGTTAATATTAAGATTTTTTTTGGACAAGTTACAATTCCATTCGAACAAGTAAGTTTTGATGTGTACTTGTCCTATTGGGCAAGTTGAAAAAAAAGTTATTGTACAGGCCTGTAATTGGATAAACGCAGAGAAGATCGAAATCTGTTTACATCAGCATGTTTACCTATTACCGGCAATAAATGTGTCATTAGAACTTTTGGTTTTCAATGCCTTTCAACTAAATTATTAATTTGGAAGCCAAGGCTACTAGGACCAACAGAAATTTCAATTTTGACGGCCCCAAACAGTAAAAATATTTGCCGGTCATTGGGTCTGACACAAAGACGTCATTTGCTGGACCCTCTTAAATTCTGCCCCCCCCCCCTTAGGGCCTACTTTCATTGGCATACATTTCTCTGAAATGAATTTTAAATTTTTGCTTCATTATCAATGCACCAAAATATTTTTTTTAAAAAGAAGGAAATGTGATATGATTACCAATCAGACAGTGATCCACCAAAGACCACAGGACAAGGATTTAAACTGTAAAGTATGACTTGTATACCTGAAAAAGAACAATTAAAATAAGATTTGTATACATGGACGTATTTAATGAAGATTTTCTTTTTGTAGTCATCATTTGTTGGAGCCATCGCTATTGGAGATCTGGTCAAGAGTACATTAGGTCCAAAAGGAATGGTAAATACATTTACACAGAGAATATTGTGTGGCTTTTGCAATATCCACCGGTAGCAACTAGAAAAACCAAGAAAATACCAAGAACTCTGCTTAAGTGTTGATGCTGGTGTGATATTGAAAAGCCCATCATAAACACTTTATTATATACTTAATAGCTTGAACGAGATGTTTTTCTGTTAATAGAAGTTAAATGAAATACTTATATAAAGGATGACTAGATTGAACATTCACAAGTTGCCTTAATGAAACAAGTTAAAAATAATAAGAAAATTAATAAACTACTACTAATGTATCTGAAATGGGAAGTACTGTACTAATTTTGACAAACATTTCATTAATGGATAGCTTATTTGTATCAAAATCTAAAATATTTTATTCCCATTAATTATTACTTTCTGTGATGAAAATAACCTGATTAACAATTGTTTTAAGGTGGAATGATGGAAGCCAACATTATGCTATCACAGCAAAAATAATAAATTCATCATTATTCATGTCATTAGTTCTTCTTCACGCAACAGAGTTGTAAAGTTTATGATTCTTTGTATACCCTCGTCCTTATTAGGGTATATAGTACCTGTGTCTATGTCTGCTTGTCTAACAGTATGTCCTTCTTCTGTCATACTTCAGGTTTCAAGGAGTTTGATATATGGATCAGGATTTATAAACACTGTGCTGGCTACTTGTGCATGTTATTTCTCATTATTAGTAATGAACTTGTTGGAGCACCAAAAAACACTTGTATAAAAGCTCTGAAATTGATAAAAAAAAATGTCTGGATCAGTCTTGTCATAAAATATATAATATATTCTATATATGAAATTATTACAGGACAAGATACTGCAAAGTGGTGAGGGTATACAAGTAACAAATGATGGTGCCACCATACTGAAATCCATTGGTGTAGATCTTCCTGCAGCCAAAGTTTTGGTTGGTAAGTTACAGCCATACCGATATTTATAGGTGTAGATCTTCCTGCAGCCAAAGTTTTGGTTGGTAAGTTACAGCCATACCGATATTCATAGGTGTAGATCTTCCTGCAGCCAAAGTTTTGGTTGGTAAGTTACAGCCATACCGATATTTATACCCCACGCAACGAGTTGCGGAGGGTATAATGTTTTTGGTCCGTCCGTCTGTCAGTCCGTCAGTCTGTCAATCTGTCAGTCCTTCAGTCCTGTTTCTTGTCATCGCAACTTCTCTCAAACCACACAACAGAATTTCACGAAACCTTTTTAGATAATAAGGACATACTATGTAGTTGTGCATATCGACAGGAAATTACGATTCAATTCTTTTTCTAGGAGTTACGCCCCTTTGAACTTATTTACTTTAATGTACTACTGCAACAGTTTGTCATCGCAACTCCTCTCAAACCACACAACAGAATTTCATGAAACCTTTTCAGATAATAAGGACATACTACGTAGATGTGCATATCGACAGGAAATTACGATTCAATTTTTTTTCGAGGAGTTACGCCCCTTTGAACTTATTTGCCCACTATACTACTGCAACCTTTTGACATCGCAACTCCTCTCAAACCACACAACAGAATTCATGAAACCTTTTCAGATAATAAGGACATACTACGTAGATGTGCATATCGACAGGAAATTACATTTCAATTTTTTTCCAGGAGTTATGCCCCTTTGAACTTATTTGCCCAATATACTACTGCAACCTTTTGTCATCGCAACTCCTCTCAAACCACACAACAGAATTTCATGAAACTGTGTAGATAATAAGGACATACTATGTAGATGTGCAAATTGACAGGAAATTATGATTCAATTTTTTTTTCTGATACAATTTTTTTTTCTTGCACTTATTTTATTTCTCCAATGACAATGTGGGGACGTGGGGTATGTGAGCACGCTCACTAAGGTTCTTTAATCATAGGTGTAGAGATTCCTGCAGCCAAAGTTTTGGTTGGTTAGTTACAGCCATACCGATATTCATAGGTGTAGATCTTCCTGCAGCCAAAGTTTTGGTTGGTAAGTTACAGCCATACCGATATTCATAGGTGTAGATCTTCCGGCAGCCAAAGTTTTGGTTGGTAAGTTACAGCCATACCGATATTTATAGGTGTAGATCTTCCTGCAGCCAAAGTTTTGGTTGGTAAGTTACAGCCATACCGATATTTATAGGTGTAGATCTTCCTGCAGCCAAAGTTTTGGTTGGTTAGTTACAGCCATACCGATATTCATAGGTGTAGATCTTCCTGCAGCCAAAGTTTTGGTTAATAAATAACAGTCATACTTAAATTTTATACATGTAGATATTTTGTGGATGCATATTTTTTATATATATAACACCAAGCTGATTGATTTTTTTTTCACTTTGTAGATATATCCAAAGTACAAGATGATGAAGTAGGAGATGGCACTACCTCTGTTGTTGTGTTTGCTTGTGAACTTTTAAAAGTAAGTGTACACATGTTTGGTTATTTTCTGAAACTTTCAATTACATTGATCATACAGCTTTGATCACTGTAACTATAGATTTATTAGTGTTCAGTCGACTTAGTTTGTGTCCTTAATATGATAGTCAAAATGACATGTCCGTCCATTTCTATGTTTTCTTTGTCATTCAAAAGCTATGTTTGCTTTTTGTGCATTTCATTATAATTTTTATTGCTTTGCTAAAATAAAATTATGCCAATCTAGGAGTGTTGAGATGCACAAAGCTTAATATTACGATAGCAGAGATGAACAATCCATATCTTGTAAATATTTAATATATTACCGGTAGATATATCACTAATCTTGTGCTTAATAGTTAACATTTGATTATTATTTATAGGAAGCTGAACAACTGATTTCCCAGAAAATTCACCCACAGACAATTATATCTGGTTGGAGGTTAGCTACAGATGAAGCTAGAAAGGCCCTGACAGAATTTGCACGTGATCATGGGTAATTAAAAAAATAGCATTAATTATTTTGTTTCAAATTATACCTTTTCAAAAATTATAAATTTTGAAAAGAGAAATTAAAATAACCAGTGCTAAATGTAATTAAGAACAAATTTCTCAGGTAAAAAAGAAATTAAAAAAATTATTATTTTGTAAAATATAATTTATACATTAATGTTGTGAAAAATATGTCATATTCTGATAGCGCATAACACTATTGTTTTGAAAAATTGTATGATAAATGTCTTCCATGTTTTTTTTTTAGAAAAGATGAAAAGAAATTTAAGAAAGATTTAATGAACATTGCTAGAACCACACTCAGTTCTAAAATATTGACACAATACAAGGACCACTTTTCAAATCTATGTGTTGATGCTGTTCTTAGATTAAAGGTAAAAGTCTTCTCGTAATAAAATGCAGAAAGTCTAAATTTTGATGTAAATTTTGCTAGCTTTACTGACTGCAACAACTTTTCAGAATGTGTCTTAAACGTATAAAGAGATTTCATTTGTAATTGTTCCCCACACGTCGTGCTGTGGGGGTATTGTAATGGACTCTTTGTCCAAAACACATCATTTATAAGATACTATTTGACAGAAAGCTTCCATACTTGTGGGATTATTTGCCATCATATTTTCTTGACCCTGCTTTATCATTCGTTTGATTTGATTTTTACCCAAGTGATGGAACTTTTTAGTATTGTAACAATGACTCTTTGTGAATGTAACTCCTCTAAGTCCCTATTACAGATTGGTTTTACTTGGTACTATTATTTGCCATCAAGTGTAGTTAACCATATGGTATCACCATTTGGCACTGCCCATTTTTTGGTAGTATTGTGACAAAAACAACTCCTCTGAGTTTGTTTTTCCGAAAGCTTGGTAATTTTTTTTGCCATCATGTGAAGTTAACCGTATTGTACCACTATGATTACATGAGTTGTGGGACTTTGACCATTTGTTGGAGTATTGTTACAATAACACCTTGTGATGCAACTCCTCTGAAACCCTTTAACAGAAAGCTCTCATACTTAATAGGATTGTTTGCCATCATGTGTTGTTGACCACATTATACTGTCATTTTGATTTGATCATATTTATGGGAACTTTTACCATATTTTGACTATCTACCACGATGACACATTGTGACACATAATCAAATTCCTCATTCATACTGCTGTTGGGAACATTTAGCTACAACGTAACAATCTTGTATTCATTTGTAACAAAAACAAAAGACTTATTGCAAAATGAAGTCTCTGTAAAGTTGCTATGTTTTACTCTATGACCAAATGGTACTAAAGAAATCTTGTCTTTAAGTATAATTTTTTATCATTTCATTAACCGGAATTTCGAAAGAAAAATCTGTTATTGATTTATGAATGTATGGCGGGCAGGTGGCTGCCAAACAGTGTCCGTTCATTAACATGAAAACTCTTTGACGAAATCTTTTCAAATTTATTTCATGATTTTAGCTGTTTTCGCTGTTGAGTTGTAGACCTTTCAGTAGCAAAAGTGATTCTTATTATATGATTTTGAGTTATTTCCCTTTGAACAGAAATGGTGTAATTAATAAGTAATTTCTATGTCATTTGGTCTCTTGTTAATTTTGAGTTATTTCCCTTTGAACAGAAATAGTGTAATTAATAAGTATTTCATCAAAAATTGAATTCTTGGGGTTCTTTGATATGCTGATTCTAACAATGTACTTAGATTTTAAATATTGGACCATAATAGATAAATGTCCAATTTCAAATTTTTCAGTTCTTTGAATACATTCATTTTTTGTCACAAACCTATGCTGTGTCAAATATTCAATCACAATCCAAATTCAGAGCTGTTTTAAGTTTAAATGTTGTGTCCATACTTGCTCAACTGTTCAGGGTTCGACCTCTGCAGGAAAATCGGGTTGGCTGTCACTCTGACAGCCTCTTGTTTCTTTGTGGTTTAGGAAATGCTATGGATTTTTATAGATTTAACACTTATTGTAATTGACTGGAAATGAACCAATTTACTATAAAAAAAAATGTTGTTTTTTTAGGGAAGTGGAAATTTAGATGCTATCCAGTTGATAAAGATACTTGGAGGAGGTTTACAAGACTCATATTTAGATGAAGGTAATGTTTTTCCCTCTTTCTTGTGAAAAAATGTTTTATTGAAAAGTGCAGAGATTATTGAATTTCAGTAATTTATAAATTGACTATAGTTGATAAATGGATGTGTTTTAACAAAAGTCTTATAAACTATAATTAATAAACCCCTGAAAAATCCTCCTTCCCTTCTTTCATTCATTTGAATTAAAAGAGATTTAGGTGATAAATGCCAATGAGACAGCAATCCAGCAGCAAATTAATTTGACATGATTTTGAATATCCCTTTGATATTTTCTTCCTCTCTCTTACTGTAAAACAAAAAAAGGAAACTAGAAGTGAAGATAATTTTTCATCAACAGACATGTTAGTTTATTTTGTTGCTAACTGTTTTTATACGACCGCAAAAAAATTTTTGTGGTCGTATATTGGTATGACGTCGGCGTCGTCGTCGTCGTCCGAAGACGCATTAGTTTTCGCACTCTAACTTTAGTTTAAGTGAATGGATCTCTATGAAATTTTACCATAAGGTTCAATACAACAAAAGGAAGGTGGGGATTGATTTTGGGGGTTATGGTACCAACAGTTAAGGAATTAGGGGCCAAAAAGGGGCCAAAAATAAGCATTTTCTAGTTTCCAGACAATAACTGTGGAACGGTGTATGGATCTCTCTGAAATTATACAAGTTTCCATACCACAAAGGGATGGTTAGGATTTGCTTTGGGGGGTTATGGCTCAAACTGTTTAAGAATTAGGGGCAAAAAAGGGGGAAAAACAAGGTTGTCCTGGTTAATGGACAAATACTTTAGTACAAAACATAATTTAAAGCAGTGTAAGGGAGATAAATCAAATACATCATTGAAATTATCTCCCTTACACTGCTTTTAAATTATGTATAAAGTAATGGTTAATGAACAATTAAGACAATTTAAAACAGTGTAAGGGAGGTAATCCAAATACAATGTTTTGGTTACTTCCCTTACACTGCTTTTAAATTATGTTTAAAGAAATGCATATTTATAAAGGAAGACCAGTAAAAATATCTGCAAATGTTGCATCTTTTTTTTTTACAAAAAAATCCATATGAAAGATTTGACACTATATTTTAAATTCTATTATAAAATAGATTAAGTTAGCACTATGGTAAATTTAAATGGGTAATTATGGTTTGGGGGAAAAAGGGGGGGGGGGGGGTGAAAAGAAATTGTGGGGGGTCAATTTTTTCTCATTTCAGATTTCAGAAATTAAAAAGAATTATTCTTCAAATATTATTTTTTTTTCAAATTTCAAATATTGAAAAATTTCAAGAAGTAATCTTTAATTGCACAGTATGGCGCATTAGATTTGTAAAATCTTTGACCACATTTATTTATTTGTTATGCCGAATCTAACCGTGTATTTAGATTTTTAATTTTGGATCCAGTTTTCAAATTGGTCTACATTAAGGTCCAAAGGGTCCAAAATTAAACTTTGTTTGATTTTAACAAAAATTGAATATATGGGGTTCTTTTATATGCTGAATCTAAACATGTATTTAGATTTTTGATTTTTGGCCCAGTTTTCAAGTTGGTCCAAATTGGGGTCCAAAATTAAACTTTGTTTGATTTCAACAAAAATTGAATATATGGGGTTCTTTGATATGCTGAATCTAACCATGTATTTAGATTTTTTATTTGTGGACCCCGTTATCAAATTGGTTCATATTGAGGTCAAAAGGGTCCAAAATTAAACTTTGTTTGATTTCATCTAAAATTGAATTATTGGGGTTCTTTGATATTCCAAATCTAACCGTGTATTTAGATTTTTAATTTTGGGTCCTGTTTTTTAAATTGGTCTACCTTAAGGTCCAAAGGGTCCAAAATTAAACTTTGTTTGATTTTAACAAAAATTGAATATATGGGGTTCTTTGATATGCTGAATCTAAACATGTGTTTAGATTTTTGATTAGGGGCCCAGTTTTCAAGTTTGTCCAAGTTGGGGTCCAAAATAAAACTTTGTTTGATTTCAACAAAAATTGAATATATGGGGTTCTTTGATATGCTGAATCTAAACATGTATTTAGATTTTAGATTTTTGGCCCAGTTTTCAAGTTGGTCCAAATTGGGGTCCAAAATTAAACTTTGTTTGATTTCAACAAAAATTGAATATATGGGGTTCTTTGAATTGCTGAATCTTACCATGTATTTAGATTTTTTATTTGTGGACCCGCTATCAAATTGGTTCATATTGAGGTCAAAAGGGTCCAAAATTAAACTTTGTTTGATTTCATCAAAAATTGAATTATTGGGGTTCTTTGATATGCCAAATCTAACCGTGTATTTAGATTTTTAATTTTGGGTCCCGTTTTTAAATTGGTCTTCATTAAGGTCCAAAGGGTCGAAAATTAAACTTAGTTTGATTTTAACAAAAATTGAATTCTTGGGGTTCTTTGATATGCTGAATCTAAACATGTGTTTAGATTTTTGATTATGGGCCCAGTTTTCAAGTTGGTCCAAGTTGGGGTCCAAAATTAAACTTTTTTTGATTTCAACAAAAATTGAATATATGGGGTTCTTTGATATGCTGAATCTAAACATGTATTTAGATTTTAGATTTTTGGCCCAGTTTTCAAGTTGGTCCAAATTGGGGTCCAAAATTAAACTTTGTTTGATTTCAACAAAAATTGAATATATGGGGTTCTTTGATATGCTGAATCTTACCATGCATTTAGATTTTTTATTTTGTGGGCCCGCTATTAAATTGGTTCATATTGAGGTCAAAAGGGTCCAAAATTAAACTTTGTTTGATTTCATCAAAAATTGAATTATTGGGGTTCTTTGATATGCCAAATCTAACCGTGTTTTTAAATTTTTAATTTTGGGTCCCGTTTTTTAAATTGGTCTACATTAAGGTCCAAAGGGTCCAAAATTAAACTTAGTTTGATTTTAACAAAAATTGAATTCTTGGGGTACTTTGATATGCTGAATCTAAACATGTGTTTAGATTTTTGATTATGGGACCAGTTTTCAAGTTTGTCCAAGTTGGGGTCCAAAATTAAACTTTGTTTGATTTCAACAAAAATTGAATATATGGGGTTCTTTGATATGCTGAATCTAACCATGTATTTTGATTTTGGACATTGGACCATAATAGGTAAATTAAATAAATTGAAGTTCTTAGACCACATTCTTTCTGTGTCAGAAACCTATGCTGTGTCATATATTTAATCACAATCCAAATTCAGAGCTGTATCAAGCTTGAATGTTGTGTCCATACTTGCCCCAACTGTTCAGGGTTCGACCTCTGCGGTCGTATCAAGCTGCGCCCAGCGAAGCATTTTATTTCAGATTTAACCTGATAGTCTCAAACATGATGATGTAATTAATTTCATTTAAATATTGCAACTATTTTTGTATTCATCCAAACAAACTGGATAACTTTTTCATTTCAGGATGTAGTTCAAGGGTCCTTTTCTTCATAAATTCTCCAGAACGGTTACAAATAAAACATATGGGGAAAATGAAAATAACTATTGTATATCTTTTAAACCAGATTCAATATAGAAACGGCTACACCACTGCAAAATTATTTCTTTTTGTGTGTGTCAAGCAAAAAGTAGTGAAGGCATATTTAATACATTTCACAGTTTGATAAAATATGTTGGATTAATTTCATCTGAATATTGACCTTGCTGTTTGATTTGTTTCAGGATTTTTGTTAGAAAAGAAAATAGGTGTAGGACAGCCTAAAAGATTAGAAAACTGTAAAATATTAGTAGCTAACACACCCATGGATAGTGACAAAATAAAGGTAAGAAGTACCCATTTGATCTGGTTTTTAATGAGTGATTAGTTCTGTTCAGGTTTTTACATAAGATATTGTGAACCAAATTGTTTTGTGGATACTTTCTCCTGTATTGAATTACAACTGGACATTAAGCCCGCAACAATCAATCAGTCTTAAATAAATTAAAGGTTTTCAACAAGCTAATTGACACCTTTACCTTAATCTGACGATGAATAATTTTGTTTGTATAACACTTTAGTAGATGGTTAGACATTTTTGTTATCTACTTATTTCCTGCTCAATTAAATTCAATCAACTTGTCATCAAAATGATTGTCCTAATTATCATGCTATGAGAAGCATAATAAGTCATGTGCATGATATCACACCTTGGTTGGTATGAAACATTGAGTGTTGAAACAAATATGCATTGTATTTTGCTTGCAAAGTTGGAAATACAGTATTTTAATAACTACAGAAAAAAAATACCGTCTGAAAATGAAAATGTTACTTTAAAAGATAGAATGGATACATCGTATGCTCATATCAACCTGATACACAAAATCAGTTTACCTCGTGCAAGTTCTCTCCCCTTGAGTTGAGCTTTGGTTGACTGAATTGTATCACTTTCTCCTAGTTTTCCTGATAACCATAACTATAAGAAGAATTGACTACAATACACCTAGTCAATGTCAATGGAAATATGCAAAGGGAGATATCTCAAATTTAATTATTGATACTAATTTGCTATTTTCCTGTTTGAATTTTCTAGCTTTTATGTTAAAAATCTAATTTAAGCATGACTTTATGGTAACAAAACCAATTTTAAGCCACTGACAAAGTATGAAGAACATTCAAAGGTGTAAAATAAACAAATCAGTTTATCTATTAACAATAAAAAGTCTTACTGTGGATTCATTTATTTTCGTGGGTACCAATTTTCGTGGATAAAGGAAAACTTGTATGTTCGTGGATATTAAATTTTCATGGTTTTGCCGAGGTCTGCATAAAGCCTATAGAAAATTTGACATTCATTGAACATTTAATTTCGTGGTTTACCTGTACACACGAAATCGACGAAAATTGATATCCAACAATTATTAATGAATCCACAGTAACTATATTTTTATACTGGTTTGAAGAATATCTGAATATTAAATAAGAATATTCTAATTTCCTCAGATATTTGGATCTAAAGTAAAGGTAGATGCTGTTTCTAAAGTAGCAGAATTAGAATTAGCAGAAAAAGAAAAGATGAAGGACAAAGTGAATAAGATCTGTAAAGTAGGATGTAATGTATTCATTAACAGGTAAATAAGATCTGTAAAGTAGGATGTAATGTATTCATTAACAGGTAAATAAGATCTGTAAAGTAGGATGTAATGTATTCATTAGCAGGTAAATAAGATCTGTAAAGTAGGATGTAATGTATTCATTAACAGGTATTCACTTCACTCTTACTGACAGAAAGTACTGTTACCTAAACACATGAATTTTTTTTAAATGAATAAAGAAAATATTGAACCAATACAACTTGACATGATAATTATGCCCCCACCGTAGCGGTGGGGGCATTAAGTTTTACCCTTGTCCGTCCGTACGTCCCAAAATTGGTTTCCGTTCTCTTACTTGAGTTTGCCTCAACCAAATGTTATGAAACTTATACACAATGCTTATTACCACAAAACACAGATCAAGTTTGAATTTTGGTGGCGTCACTTTAACCGTTCTAGAGTTATGCCCCTTTATAAATGGAAAAATTGCAAAATTTTTAGTTTCCGTCCTTTAACTTAAGTTTGCCTCAACCAAATATTATGAAACTTATATACAATGTTTATTATCACAAAACACAGATCAAGTTTGAATTTTGGTGGCGTCACTTTAACCGTCCTAGAGTTATGCCCCTTTATAAATGGAAAAATTGCAAAATTTTTAGTTTCTGTTCTCTAACTTAAGTTTGCCTCAACCAAATGTTATGAAACTTATACACAATGCTGATTACCACAAAACTCTGATCAAGTTTGAATTTTGGTGGCGTCACTTTAACCGTTCTAGAGTTATGCCCCTTTATAAATGGAAAAAATTGCAAAATTTTTATTTTCTTCTAATTTATCAAGTTATTTTTAAAATTGGAGTTATCTTCCTTTGTCCATGATTATAGTTGAATCAACTACAATCAATGCTTTATACAATGCAATGTTTAATTTTGACTTCCACTGATAAAACACAGATCAAGTTGAATTTGGGTAGTGTTACTTTAACCATTATTGAGTTATGCCCCTTTATAAATAGAAAAATTGCTGAATTTTTAGTTTCTGTTCTCTACTTAAGTTAGCCTCAACCAAATGTTATGAGACTTACACACAAAACTCAGATCAAGTTCAAATTTGGGTAGCGTCACTTTTACTGTTCTTCAGTTATGTCCCTTTATAACTATATGATATGAAAGCGGGGGCATCATCTGTGTCCACATGTGGACACTATCCACATTTATTGATGCCTGTGTGCACCTTTTACAAGAAGTAAATTAATATGTCATTACATTACTTGGATCATTTATATACATGTAAAGAAAAACTAATTCACTTTTTGGATGTGTGGTAGTATGCTTATCAGCTTTTCAGAATGTCATGGGATTTTATTCCTGGACAGACTAATACAAAGATTTTAGAGCTGGTATTCAGAGTATCTTCACTAAAAATGCTAAATACATGACATTTATGAAATAAGACTGTTCACATAAGAAATAAAATTATACTTCTACATACAGCAAAGAGTCTGCCTTGTGGAATAATACTTTATCCGATTGGAAATAAAAAAAATCTGAATGTCAGTCTATTACAACCAGGTTGCATACTCATGTGAAATCAACAGAATAATTGGTGAAATATTGTGACACCTAGAGCGGAACTCATTAGAAGCAAAATCACTGGAGAACAACTTATAATCAGGAAAACAAACAAATTAGTATATCTTCCTCAAATATTGTCTTGAGCTTTTACTTACTAATACTTACCAGTAGTTCCTTTTGGACCCTTGACCAATCAAACTCCTTAACTAATATTACCGGGTACTAAGATTTTTCCCCCTTTTTTGACCGCCAAAAAAATAATTGGTGGTATTTTTTGTTTCAGGTGGAGAACACTTCAATTTTTTTAAGCAAAGATGGTGGTAAAAAAGAGAATTGATCCAGGGGAAATTCTGCAAGACTATATTAAATGTGTTTTTTGATGAGTATTTAAACATGTGGTTCCCCTTTACCCACAAAATCAACCAAAATATTTATCCATCAAATAATAATGGATAAGCAATACAAATGCCTTGACATGTTTATACATGATTCTAAGCATTATTAATTTTTTTGTAGACAATTGATATACAACTATCCAGAACAGTTGTTTTCAGACAATGGAGTTATGTCTATAGAGCATGCTGATTTTGAAGGAGTTGAAAGATTAGCCTTAGTAACAGGTACTGAAACATTATCAACATTGGTGAAAAAAGATAATAATCGACATGTTAAACTTAGAATTCTTAATTGAAACACAGAAACCATTTGCTGAAATTGTGATAAACCAGGAAAACTGAACACTTAGTAATATGAACTTTGCTGTTTTTATTTTCCTTATTTGATCAACTATTTTATGGATTTATGAAATTGAAAAAAAAAATAAAGTGGGTTGCAGGAGACAATCAAATACAGTTATTGCATAAAATAATTTTCAACAGTTAGTTAAACTTTACCCTTTATATGAAAATTTGTTTTTAGGTGGAGAAATCTGTTCAACATTTGATGCACCAGATTTAATCAAATTAGGTCACTGTGATTTGATTGAGGAAATTATGATTGGTGAAGATAAACTTATCAAATTCTCAGGTATGTTATACCCAATGTTATTGATCACAAAACTATTGACATTGCAAAATTTGTGTTTTCAAGTATGCAAGAATCTAGGGAAAGAAGTATGTCTTTGCATAGAACATCCATGTATTTCAAATAATCATGTGGTCATTTATTGTTTCAAATACTTTAAATGTAGTTATGTATCTATTGCTTTATCAAATAAGAGGAATGGAGCAAGCAGAAAAATAACTGCCTTTTAAATTTTCACTAAAGACTTCTGAGTAGGTGCTGTCAACCTCAGAGTTCATTACTTCCATCAAGACACCTTACATTTAAAGACCTTAGTTCAATTGGAATTAATTAAACGGGAATTACATCATTTTTGAAGTCAATAAAACAAAACTCAATGTCTGTATCAACTGGCCAGCTAGGAGTTAAATCACTGCATATTCCTGATTTATTACAAGCACTTTGCAAATTAACATCAAATGTGGTCAACTAATACAATCTATTATAAAAACAATGTAAACAATAGTTACAGGAAGTCACTGTGTCAAATACATTGGGCTGAGTTATGTTTATTGTACTGTGTGGAGTGAAAAAAAATTGAGATATTTTAATATTTTAATATTTCAGGTGTTAAACTTGGAGAAGCCTGTACTATAATATTACGAGGAGCAACAAAACAAATCTTAGATGAAGCAGACAGATCTATTCATGATGCCCTGTGTGTTCTTACTCAGACAGTCAAGGAAACCAAGACCGTCTTTGGTGGAGGTAATATTTTAATCCACTCTTTGTCATATTATTACCTTGACAGCAAACTGTTCTAGCTGTGTAGTGTTTTAAAAATGTTTGCGGTTAAATAAGAAAAAAAAAGTTGGTAGATATATATGATACAAGCATCTTGAATAGCATTTGTTATTTATCAATTACAAGTTGACTCGGCCTTATTTTATGTCATTAGTTATGTAACGTGAGGGTACCCTAATTGCACCTATTTTGACAGTTTTTCACTTAGGTTTATTTAAGAAACAGACAAAAGTTTCCATTCTGTTTATATTTCGTAGCTGTATCTTTATTTACTATACATTTCCTCAAATTTAATTTTTAATCCATACTGAATCACAGAAAAATGAGTTTGAACTGATCTTCAAACAATCCAAGATTCTGTAGTGATGAGTACCTAAATTGCATACATGTTTTACTTCAAATCTATAAATATCAAAGAACAGATGTTTTGTTTTATTTCGTCACATTTTTAGCACAATTTGCCAATAGTTCATGCTTTCTGTGCATTTTGTAAGAAACTGGTGCCTGTGAGATATTTTGATTGCTAATTTTTATACGACCGCAAAAAAATTTTGTGGTCGTATATTGGTATGACGTTGGCGTCGTCGTCGTCGTCCGGCGTCGTCGTCGTCCGGCGTCGTCGTCGTCGTTGTCGTCGTCGTCCGGCGTCGTCGTCCGAAGACACATTGGTTTTCGCACTCTAACTTTAGTTTAAGTGAATGGATCTTTTTGAAATTTGACCATAAGGTTAAATACCACAAAAGGAAGGTTGGGATTGATTTTGGGGGTTATGGTACCAACAGTAAAGGAATTAGGGGCCAAAAAGGGGCCAAAAATAAGCATTTTCTAGTTTCCAGACAATAACTGTGGAACGGTGTATGGATCTCTCTGAAATTATACTACAAGTTTCCATACCACAAAGGGATGGTTAGGATTTGCTTTGGGGGGTTATGGCTCAAACCGTTTAGGAATTAGGGGCAAAAAAGGGGGAAAAACAAGGTTGTCCTGGTTAATGGACAAATACTTTAGTACAAAACATAATTTAAAGCAGTGTAAGGGAGATAAATCAAATACATCATTGAAATTATCTCCCTTACACTGCTTTTAAATTATGTATAAAGTAATGGTTAATGAACAATAAAGATAATTTAAAACAGTGTAAGGGAGGTAATCCAAATACAACGTTTTGGTTACTTCCCTTACACTGCTTTTAAATTATGTTTAAAGAAATGCATATTTATAAAGGAAGACCAGTAAAAATATCTGCAAATGTTGCATGTTTTTTTTTTACAAAAAAATCCATATGAAAAATTTGACACTATTTTTAATTCTATTATAAAATAGATTAAGTTAGCACTATGGTAAATTTAAATGGGTAATTATGGTTGCCAACTAATTTAAATGGGTAATTATGGTTGCCAACTCCATTGGAAATTTGAATTGAGATTATGACCATATCTTGAGGGAAAGAATTTTTTTGGGGAAAAAAGGGGGGGGGGATAAAAAGAAATTGTGGGGGGTCAATTTTTTCTCATTTCAGATTTCAGAAATTAAAAAGAATTATTCTTCAAATATTTTTTTTTTTTCAAATTTCAAATATTGAAAAATTTCAAGAAGTAATCTTTAATTGCACAGTATGGCGCATTAGATTTGTAAAATCTTTGATCACATTTATTTATTTGTTATGCCGAATCTAACCGTGTATTTAGATTTTTAATTTTGGGTCCAGTTTTCAAATTGGTCTACATTAAGGTCCAAAGGGTCCAAAATTAAACTTTGTTTGATTTTAGCAAAAATTGAATATATGAGGTTCTTTGATATGCTGAATCTTAACATGTATTTAGATTTTTGATTTTTGGCCCAGTTTTCAAGTTGGTCCAAATTGGGGTCCAAAATTAAACTTTGTTTGATTTCAACAAAAATTGAATATATGGGGTTCTTTGATATGCTGAATCTAACCATGTATTTAGATTTTTTATTTGTGGACCCCGTTATCAAATTGGTTCATATTGAGGTCAAAAGGGTCCAAAATTAAACTTTGTTTGATTTCATCTAAAATTGAATTATTGGGGTTCTTTGATATTCCAAATCTAACCGTGTATTTAGATTTTTAATTTTGGGTCCTGTTTTTTAAATTGGTCTACATTAAGGTCCAAAGGGTCCAAAATTAAACTTTGTTTGATTTTAACAAAAATTGAATTCTTGGGGTTCTTTGATATGCTGATTCTAAACATGTGTTTAGATTTTTGATTATGGGCCCAGTTTTCAAGTTGGTCCAAAGGGTCCAGTATTTAAACTTTGTTTGATTTCAACAAAAATTGAATATATGGGGTTCTTTGATATGCTGAATCTAAACATGTATTTAGATTTTTGATTATGGGCCCAGTTTTCAAGTTGGTCCAAATTGGGGTCCAAAATTAAACTTTGTTTGATTTCAACAAAAATTGAATATATGAGGTTCTTTGATATGCTGAATCTAACCATGTATTTAGATTTTTTATTTGTGGGCCCCGCTATCAAATTGGTTCATATTGAGGTCAAAAGGGTCCAAAATTAAACTTTGTTTGATTTCATCAAAAATTGAATTATTGGGGTTCTTTGATATGCCAAATCTAACCGTGTTTTTAGATGTTTAATTTGGGTCCCGTTTTTTAAATTGGTCTTCATTGAGGTCCAAAGGGTCCAAAATTAAACTTAGTTTGATTTTAACAAAAATTGAATTCTTGGGGTTCTTTGATATGCTGAATCTAAACATGTGTTTAGATTTTTTATTATAGGCCCAGTTTTCAAGTTGGTCCAAGTTGGGGTCCAAAATTAAACTTTTTTTGATTTCAACAAAAATTGAATATATGGGGTTCTTTGATATGCTGAATCTAACCATGAATTTAGATTTTTTATTTGTGGGCCCCACTATCAAATAAATTCATATTGAGGTCAAAAGGGTCCAAAATTAAACTTTGTTTGATTTCATCAAAAATTGAATTATTGGGGTTCTTTGATATTCCAAATCTAACCGTGTATTTAGATTTTTAATTTTAAGTCCCGTTTTTTAAATTGGTCTACATTAAGGTCCAAAGGGTCCAAAATTAAACTTAGTTTGATTTTAGCAAAGATTGAATTCTTGGGGTTCTTTGATATGCTGAATCTAAACATGTGTTTAGATTTTTGATTATGGGCCCAGTTTTCAAGTTTGTCCAAGTTGGGGTCCAAAATTAAACTTTGTTTGATTTCAACAAAAATTGAAAATGTGGGGTTCTTTGATATGCTGAATCTAACCATGTATTTTGATTTTAGACATTGGACCATAATAGGTAAATTAAAAAAATTCAAGTTCTTAGATCACATTCTTTCTGTGTCAGAAACCTATGCTGTGTCAAATATTTAATAACAATCCAAATTCAGAGCTGTATCAAGCTTGAATGTTGTGTCCATACTTGCCCCAACTGTTCAGGGTTCGACCTCTGCGGTCGTATCAAGCTGCGCCCCAGCGAAGCATTTTATTAAACATTAACTTTCTTTTTATGGATGTTGCATGCAACTTTTAGTTTTTACACTGGATGCTTCATCTTTTGATATATAATGTGACCATTTTGTGTATATTTAAATATATTTATCTATGTTGTAGATGTGCATAATGACAAATAATAAAAATATGAATTGTTTAGTCTCTAAGAAAACTAACTTATAGGTAAAATGGGTTAAAATTTGGTATTTGGTGCAATTTGATTACTGTGATACTAGTTGTTAATGCTGCACTTTAACTGATTATAGGAAGTTCAGAAATGTTGATGGCAGATGCTGTATCCCGATTGGCAGCAAGAACACCTGGAAAAGAAGCTGTTGCTATGGAAGCATATGCTAAAGCCCTAAGACAGGTATATAGTTAAAATTGCTTTATTAGACTATTTTTCAGCCAATTGCATTAATTAACAAGTATGCCTTAGAAGCTAAAAATGTTATGCTTCACCTACAGTAATAGAGGTCATCATATTTTCCAGTCTGCACATCTAGTATGAGGTTAGAGCTAACTGAAACTATCATTTGAAGTTTGAATATTTACTGACCTAGATATAAGATGTCATATAAGAGTTAGTGTTAATTTCAAAAAGATGGTTTGGTTTAAATGATTTATGATTAAAAAAAAGTCTTAGCAATAAGAATATATTGTGAAAAATATTTTAAGGGTTGTTTATTATTTCAATGGTTTACATGTAAATTATCTTTTTTCTTATGATTAAAGTTGTAAAAAGATGCAATACCAATCACTAAGCAGAATTCTGTGATAAGAAAATGTCTTCACATTTCAATTAATATATAAGTGTTTTCAATTTTATAAGTAAAAATTATTCATATTGATAATTAGTTACATAATTTCTATTTATAGCTACCATCCATCATGATAGACAATGCAGGTTATGATACAGCTCAGTTGATCTCAGAACTTAGAGCTTGTCATACACAGAAGAAACACACCATGGGAATAAGTAGGTTCAAAGTTATTATATTGTCTTTGAAGTCTAAAGCCAACCTTCTGATTGTTTTTACTGTAAATTCAGAAATTATTGCTTTTATTAATGCGAAAAATGGGACAGTATCAGGCTTCCCAATAGTAAAAACTTGCATTCATAATTTCAAGAGTGATTTTCTTTCATAAAACTTTTGCAATCACATTAAGGAGGGTCTGGATGGGGGTCTTTCTTTTTTGTATATACAAATTTTTTTATGTCATTTTTCTCTATTCTTTATATTTTTTGCACTTTTTTTTCTATTCTCTATATTTTAACACTCCATTATTCTCTATTCTTTATTATTTTGGCTAATTTTTCTGTAGATTTGACCCATTATTCTCTATTCTGTAAACCCCATCCAGACTCTCATTAATTAGATTTCACATTTTTGCCAGAGGTCATGGATTTGCAATAATAAATGCACGCATTAATTTCTGAATTTACAGTTTAAATAATAGTAAACCTAACAAACAATTATTTTTTTTAAAGTATTAAACTAAACGAGATAAATATCTTATATAAACTTATATCATCAATGAAATAATAAAAGTTCCATTTTTGGGTGGATTAAAAAAAAAAATTTCTATTTGTTGATTTTTTCTACGATCATTTAAAGAAAGGTATAATATATTAGTAAGAAATTAAAAGGGTAATTGTATTTGGAGGTAATGTTTAAAAGTATAAGTTATAAATACCATAGTACACTTCCAAAAAACATTTAAATATCATCAAGGGTTACTTGAATGCAAGATTTTAACAGGAACTATTTCTTACATAAACTGTAATATGCTGTGTCAGAATATTAACAGATAATATCTTGTGTGAGTGAGTAGCAGTCCAATTTTATGACTAAATCTTACCTATTTACATATTTACAGATATGGATGAAGGGAAGGTAGATGACATGGAAGTCAATGGCATTACAGAATCTTTCCAAGTTAAAAGACAGGTCATCATGAGTGGTTCAGAAGCTGCAGAGATGATCCTCCGTGTGGATGATATTGTCAAAGCAGCACCACGACCAAGAGGAAGGGACGATAGGCACTGTTAACAAATCAGACTTTATATTCATTGTGTGACATTTTTCTACTTACATAAATTATTCAGCTGTCGATGAACAAAATTAATAAAAAAAATACCATCATGTATTGTTGATAGTTATGATATTGTATGTCTCTATTAAAATACTATAAAATCAAATTGCTGTCACAAAGAATGTCACTGGAAATTTATTGTTTCTCCTGAATTGTGAAATTATTCTTCTCCTCTTCTCCTGAATAGTGAAATTATGTTGTATGCATATACATTTGAAGTGTTACCTGTCAAAATTTTTTTTTTTTTTTTTTTTTTGGCCCACTTACAGAATATTTTTATACGCCAGTATACGGGACATATTATGGTATATTGTTGGCTGTCTGTCCATCCATTGTCAACATGTTGGACAATAGCTCAAATATGCTTTAAACAATTTGCATGAAACTTAGGTGAATTATTTATATCTATTGATGTAACCTCCCTTTCGATTTTTATAAACTTTAGATTTTACATTTCCGAGTTATGGGGTTTTATTCATTAAAAAAGGGGGATTTTCCAGTTTTTTGGACAATTACTCAAAAATGCTTTGAGCAGTTTTCATTAAATTTTGGTGAATTATATCTATTGACGTAAGCTCCCTTTCCATTTTTATAAATTTTAGATTTTATGTTTCCGAGTTTTGGGATTTCATTCATAAAAAAGGAAGGCTTTTCCAGTTTTCAGACAATAACTCAAAAGTTCTTTGAGCAGTTTTCATGAAACTGGTGACTAGTTTATATCTATTAAAATAACCTCCCTTTAATGTTTTATAAATTTTTGATATGACATTGAAGAGTTATCGAAATTTATTCGTTGAAATAGCGACAGGTTATCATGCACTCATGGTGCAGCTCTTTATTTCAGTTTGTGTCTCCATCCATTTGTCCGTCCCATATAAGGTAGAAATTTGGTTTATGGTAGTTTATTTTAAACTTGTGGTCGCATCACATGGTTTGAAATTTCATTGTCTCCTTAGCTCGACCTGATTTTCATGACCAGTTAAATTTTCAGGTTGAGGTCTGTTCTAAGTAATTAAACATTATAGGTCAACAATTATAGTAGGTGGATTGGTTGCCAGGAATAAATTGCCATTTGCCATATGGATCATTTAGCCCTGACCTCAGTTTCACACCTCCATGGTTGGATTAAGTTGTTAGGATTAGATGGCAATTGCACATGAGATGTCAACAATACCTGGTCTGTGGATTGGTTGAAGAATATACATCTATCTGACACGAAATTGACCTCAGTAACTACTTGTTGCAAGGAATATGTATCTTTATGGCCTTGAAATTTCATGCTCTAGTGGTCAAATAAAGTTGTCAGGATGAGATCAGGACTCTCAGTCATAAAAATTTACTCAGTACTCAAAAGACTACAAAGTATGTGCTCGAAACACTAAATCGATTATGTTGATTGGTTGAATTTAGAGTGAGTATGATAATAGTACATAAAATTGTTATGACCGCAAGGCCTGTTCTTCTGAATCTATATATAACAGATCAATAATATTGGGTATGTAAATTGGTTTGAGTTGAATATATACTGTTTATGTCCTGACATGCCATATGGCCTTAGCCTCATTTTCATGCTTCAGCGGGTATCAAGTCCTTGGATGAAACATTATACATGATATGTTTAAAATATATGGGAATTCATTACATGAACATGTTTATTTCACAGACTTCATTTGACCAGTGTCTAAGAAGACCAAAGTTTAAGAGTTTGTTGATCTTTAACAGTCAACACTGACTGGTTGCCTGATTGATATTCAAATTATAATTGGTAAAGAAGAGAAAGAATACACCAAAAGGACAAATAAAAGATATGTCAAAGAAACACTAACAATACCATGGCTCAACACAAAAATGACAAAAGAAGACGAACATTAGTCCACAAAACACTACACAGAAAATAATGAGCAACAAGAACCCCATCAAAAACCACAGTTGTTTCTATTTCTCAACTGACACCCATCGAGTTGCTCATGGCAAGTACAAATTTGGTGATGTCACTCGAGGAAAACCGGATAGGATTGTAGTTAAAACAATTAAAACTTATCCCTGGTCATCTGTGTCAGATATTCCATTACTGTCAACCAAATCATGGTTGTGTTCATACAACGGTAACACTAGGAACCATTAGTTCAATAGTGAATACAACCCTCTATCAAGGAAACCATGATAGAAACCACGCAGTCTCTTAAATATTGTAACAACTGGGAGATGCAGGTGCTATTGCAATATTGCTACATAGGAATGAAAAGTTCACAATAAGAAAGCAGAAGTCATCTTTTTTGTTGTAATGTTTATTTCTCAGCCGATCCTAATTGTCAATCTCTACATGATAGTCAAGATAGGAGCAGATTATATGTAACTGTATCTGTGGTATCTTTTATTTCAATTCAAGTACGATGGATGGATGTTTCAACAGTCGCCAAACTTTGAATTATTTATTGAGAGGAAATCATCTATATGGTATATGGCCGAAGGTGAAGTTCAAGGATGATGCTAAGTTCTCTTCATTCTTGCTGAGAAGCTCCCGTATGATCTGTCTCATATGAATGAATGAGCTAGAAGATGACAGTTGGTTACCAGAGGAAAACTAATTGTCACTGTGAAAAACACGTCCTCCAAACATACCAAATATGTTGTCAATAAAAAAATGAAGATGATGTCAGTTTCAGAGATTTGTTAGAATCACGGCGTTATTTTTTTACAATGTAAGATCTGGGACTAATACATTATCTATTAGTCCCAGGTAAGATTCATCTAATCTAATCTAATCTAACTTATCTTTAAATCCCCTTTGTAGAGGAACCATATGTTCATATGTAGAACAGGGGCTCTCTTTATATTAAGTACTGTTACTCCTTCCACCATTGGACATCTAATCATATTTACATGCTCAGCACAAATGCTCTCTACATACAGTGCTGTTACACCCTCCCCCTTTCGATATCTGATGTGTGCACAATTACAGTGAAGTCCTACTCCCACACATTTTGCATAAAAATGCTTTATTTTACAGTTTAGTTCACGTGATTCAAGAAAATTTGTGTGGTTCCTCCAACCACGCCCTTATAGATGTTGAGATACCGGACTCGCTTATTTTATTGTCACTTCGCACTATAGATTTATTACTATCCACATACCATCTTGTAACGGGCTATATGCAATTGGTATAGTAGGCGTCGAGTAAGGCGTTCTATTTGTACTACACTGACTGGAGAGAGTTTCTTTGTTTTCGCTACCGGTGTTAAGACCAGAATATGGTGTAGTTTTTCGTCCGTTGATAGTTCATCAAATTGAATTCCCATTGCGTTCATCGTTGTAGTTATTTCATGAAGTATGGCGTTCCTCACTGTTCTCAAGCTTTCACATTTCAAAATAAAGAGTTCTATATTTTCTTCTTCCTTCGCATATAACAGACATTTCGGGTCAGTCTCATCTTTGTACATTCTGATCCTATTGTCTGAAGGATATACGAGCCTGTGAGCAGCTTTAATTTTGCTGGCAATCTTGCTGTATCAATAGTGGAGTGGCAGTTGCTTTTGAATAGAGGATGTATATTTCCGGTTCTCAAATTTTCAGTTGTTAAGAAATTGAGCCCTTTATATAATGACTGTATAACTGAACTATTGACCTATTCCAGTGATTGTATATTGTCTTCTTGATATTTGAGGTTCATATAGTCCTCTTACCTGGGTTTTTCAAATACCAGCTTGCCTCCTGCAGGTCATACTTTCGTAGCATATGCTTAATAGCAATGAACAAGCTAGAACTTCTGTCGTTTTTTATAAGAAGTTTGCGTGTTGCAAGTGATATTTCTACACTGTCGTCAGGCTGGTTGCAGATGAATAGGCCGCTCGGATGTGTAGTTGTGCCTCAATAGGTAGTATTCCTGTTAGGATGTTAACAGTTATGTCTGCTACACTGGTTGGTAGAGAAAGTATTCCTTTAGGATTTTTTTTCTGGAAGTTTTCAAGAAGTGTTAGTGAGCTTGTTGTTGGTAGTATTAGCTCTAATCCATATAGTAGTATTGGAGAGATGTTATTTTGTACAGGTGCACCAATGTCTCTACGTCAAGACCGTTGTTGGCCATAGAATCCTCCCCAAGCAGGCTATAAGCACTTCTTCTTTCTTTTTTATATTTTCTTCCACGTTTGCTGTCATGCGCGTAGCTACGTTTACGTCAAACCGCCCGGGCGTGCACATAAATTTTGAAGAAAAAAATATTTTAACCCAAATAAATTAAAAGAACTGGTTAAAAGCACACGAGCCTTGTAATTCTTTCTTCAATGACTTGTAATTGAAGACAAAAGACTAAGTGACGAAATTTACTTTTTAATCAAATAAAGAAACTAAAGTTTCAACTCCGTCAGGCAAAGTTGACCTTAGATGAATTTGGCTATTTTTAGGTACTTTTTGGTCATATAGCTCTGCAACTGTTTCCGTTCTTATACATACTCGGCTTTCAAATATTCGACTTTGAGCGTTCCTGATGAAGGTAAATCCAGAAAAGCGCTTCGGCCGCATGAAATTAATAACGTGTTGTTTTCATATTTTATATTACATGTTTGTTCATTTTATGTCAAAGTCTGAATCTACTGTGAATTCTACTCAGTTTACTATTGTTTAAAGCAGCAACAAGCTATCAAGGAAATGATGATAGGAAATGCAAGCTGTGGAATATATTATGAACTGAGAGGTACATACTCCATATGCAGGTGCTGCTGGAATGTTGCTACATAGAAAAGAAAAGTTCACAATTGGAAGCTGAAATCATCTCTGTTGTCAAAAAGTTTTGTTCTTACCCGAACAAGTATGTTGCTATTGATGAGTTTTTAATGACAGATATTGGTATCACTTTCTCAATAACGCGTGAACTTCCCGGGGAGGGGGTTGGTTGGGTACGGCGCCCCCAACCAGGAGGTCTTTTGCTCCGGATCAGCTTAGGGGACTTCAAACCCTCGATGAGGTTCGGGCGTACACTTAAAAATGGCCTAGCTACGCCACTGGCTGTCATGAGTGATGTAGTTCTAATAATTCCTAGATGTGTGGCTTTCTC